ACTTTAAATCGGGCCACTTAATAAAAAGATGGTCATTTTGTAATATTGGCATTCATCAGGATCTTACTTTTTCCTCTTGGGATCGTAATTACCCAACGACAAAGGAAATGTTCCCTGTAATACATCTAGTGACGTGCTCATAAATTAACACCGCAAATAACTTTACGTACAATAATAATTTGCGTAGGCTCAAAAAGTGTGAAACGTTTCGCATTCAACTCAAAACCGTTTTCCTTTGATGTGATGAGCAGACGGGAACTTGCTTTATACGCAACTACATCTCGAAAATGAAAAAAGCCCATGTTGAAAAAGCATGCTTTCGAAATTATGCAATTCCAACAAAAAGAAAGTCTGGAATGAATGATCTTTGACAATAACCCCCGTGTTATGATTGTGATGTGCGCATGCGCATGAAACTCTGTTGTTATCACGCATGTTCTATGAACCAAAGAAGGGGGTATTGTCTGATGACTCAATCATTAGTAAGGCGTGTCGTTGTTTGTGTCATCAAAAATAACCTTTTTTAAATTTATTTTGTTGTTTACGAGAACCAAACTGTTTATCAATAAAAAACTCTAAAAGCTTCGCAAAATTAGGAAACTGGAGTTTGACACAATTAAAGAATCTGTTTCCGTTCCTTTCTACAGCATTCCATTTCTTGATACGATTTTCAAATATTTTGAAAAAGATAATCCTCAATTAAAGGCAGAATCAATTCCGGGTTACACTTTTTCATGATTACTTATATTTCATTTTTGTTCTTGTTATAGGCGGCACTCTTTAAATGGTTTCAGTTAAATGGCAAATTCCGTTTTCGCAAAATCTTCCGCAAAAGCCAAGGATCCCTTCCCCACTAAACGCTGTTCTACTTCCAAGTAAATTCCGGAATTTTATAATTGATCCCTATCAAAATGGCCACTACACAATGATTTAACTTTTTATAATGAAAATATAACTCTAGCCAAAGTATCGCGAGTTTGGTAGCCTTTGTATAAAGAATGGTTGATAACTCAGGGCCCACGCCACCGGCGGAGGGATCATGCCCCCATTCTTTTGTGAAGCAAGTTGTTTTGAAGCTGCAGTAAAAGAGGTAAAAGCCTTGGCCCCCTATTTTTGCTAGCCCTGGCCTCAAAACCCCTACTTTTGCTAGCCTTAGGATGAATGACGATTCTATTGTCAGAGTGAAAAAGAGCTTTACGCTTAGAGTGTCGTGTGCAGTGACTCAGAAGACGATCTTGAGGAACTCTGAAACGATTAAACTACGGTTAGACGACCTGGTAGTTTTTTCATAGTGTTATTTATCAGTTAGTAATTAATAGCGGTGCATAGTTCCTTCGGATGACAATTCAAAAATTAGTCCCAACATAAGGTGCATTAAGCTTTTTAGATGTCTATTTAAGGATAAAAATTTTAGGATTACGCAATTCTCTCGTGAAAGCGAGGCTTTTGGCCCCCGTTACAGACCATAAGTCAATTTTAAACATTTATGGGCAAGAAATATGCTTAATTAACTTTAAGACTTTAAATTATTTCTATTTAAACTGTTTTTTCATTGATTACTTTCATATACACAAAACGAGACTTCAAACACGAGAAAGAGGCCGATGGCCACTCAAAATCCCCGTATAACGTCGATTTTCGAAATCAGCACCCTCGAATTGACCATAAGCACTTGGTCTCATAAATTTCGCTCTCGAGCGACCATTCCCCTATTCTCCGCCTGGTCTATGTAACTGTACTGAAAACGATCAAACATTTTGAAAGGACATATCATGTTTCAGAAACGTTGCCCAAAATATTTCATAGCCTGGTACAATATAGCGCATCAAGAATTTGTCACACGGCCAACAAGCATTTTCTATGATTTTGTCACGCGTATTATCCTGTTTTGCATGGTGTTGCTGGACAATTCAATTCAATGATGATATAACTCACTTCGAGAGATCTTCCACGCGCAAAGTAGCACGTGTGCAGCAATAAAAGCAAATTATCAGACAATATGTCAAAAATGGATAAGCCACATTTGCAAAACTGCTCGACTGACTCAAAGTTTGGCCATGCCAACTTCATTTTACAGAAAATTGGGACATTGTTATATGACAATGTTTAGTTTGGCCACACTAGCAACCTTCGTCACTGAGTTGTGAACGGTAATAGCTAGAATAAGCAAGTATTTCTCAGATAAGATCTTTTGGTTTTAAATTGTATTTCAGTATTTTGTGGGATGTGGTTTAAGAGAATTGATATAACTCTGATAAGCCACTCTACTTTCAGACGTTTACGAAATACGTTTCTGCCACATTCACTCTTTTTTTAATAAGAATAAATTCTATAAGAATATTTAAATAATCAAATTTTTTGTCTATTTGAGTTTTTTGGAATGCAAAACAAATGAGAGTTTCTGCTTTATGTCTTGAAATAGACGTATCTGGGCTTCGAGTAATAAATATACTTGATTGCCTGCTGTATCATATAATAGAAAATGACTATGAATTTAAGTAAATTGTGTTAGGAATAAATTATTATTAATTAATGACGTTTCGAGCATAGCCTGTTATTTATTTTTAATTTGGAGTTATAAACACTATAATGAAACCCAATTACACCTTATGTCTCTAAAGAATGATTCAACAACAATCTTAGGCTCAAAATAAAAAGAAAATATAGAACATTAAGCCTCAGCGAAAAATTAGGGATTCTTTTAAAAAAGTGTATACCCAAGTGAATCTTCTCTTGTCTGAACATTGCTGTTCTCAATGTCAGCGGTAATTTACTGAATATATGCGCTGCCAGCGGACCATAGAGATCCTGAATTTGAATATACATGGTTCGCTCCTTCGTCGCTTCGCATAAAACTGTGACTATGCTTGTCCGCCATTGCCATCTCTATGTTGTCCGCAGGTTCCGCCCCCCTTTGAGATTTTGTTATTGCGAGCTGTTGTTGGGAGCGTAGTTAGTAGGTACTAACGGAAATTCGCATGGTAGACTCTACCTACTTAAAACTTTTCTTGTTTTTTCAAACACTTGAGTTCAATGGTCTTTTCCTGGTTTGTTGGGTGCACTAATTTCCGGCCCCACATGTTTTTGCGTTATGGGCAATATTTTGTTATGTGAAAGCATGAAGCGGCAAATATTGAAATTATCAACTCTGATGAAAATTCTTATGTAACTTACTATTTGTGTTAAAGGTTTTTTCTTGTGTTTGATTTCGTGAAGTATTAAAATGTTCTACGTGAGGCCATTTACCGTTGTCCCCCTATGAGGGAAGGGGGGTGGGTGACTCTGTTCTGTGTATGACGTATAAGTTCGGTTTGCATCGAGCTGAGATCACAAGGGTACGAGGCAGTGATGGTGGTCGGCTGCCCCCCCTTCTCCCCCGAGTCATTAAAACTTTCAAAACTAGCAATTTGATCAGAATGCCAGGGGGCTGTTAATGGTTTAGCTAGGGGGTTGGGTTGTTAGATACATCCTATATTTTATTAATCCAAATTTATTAATATCTAGACATGAAGTCATGGAAACCAATTCAATGTAATGCTGGATTATTTCTTAGTTTTGTGATAAATATTTTGCCATTTTCATTTTTTCTAAGGTGTTTATTCTGACTTTTGTTCTTTTTTGTGACAAACAGTATTGGAAAGGATTCCCTTTTAGTACATGAAGCATGTAATGTTAGAATTAATAAAAGAGATGACAAATGATCCATAAAAGTATCCATAGGAAACATTTACATTATAGAAGCCTCATTATTAATTCAAGTTTTTGACATAGCACTGGGCTTAAAACATTTGACAACGGGCTGATCCTATGTTTTTTCCATCGGGCCTAAACCTGTTTATCTATGGCAAAACAAGACCTGTCTGTTTGGTAACTGGGGCCGCCTCAAGATCTGAACAAACGTCGTTTGCGAGCACGTGCTTGTCGAGACTAGTTTATTCGTAATCGACTGTTCTATGATAACAGTAATTGAACCCGAAAAAGAATTCACTCAATGTTTTGCACACAGCTTAACAATCGACCAATCAGCTCCTTTGTTTGTGTAGAAACCTGCAACCAGTTACAGTCAATCTGATGTAATGCGCGTTGTAAATTGCAGTCAGCCACTGGAATTCAAAGAACCCAGAGGGATCGGTTTCAGTTATTTTAAGGCCATGGTCGAATGTTTATTAAAGTCGCTCCAAGAGGATGCCTTCAAAAATTGCCCTATACCCAATATTTTTAAACACTATACAAATGACGCGTACAAAGTTCAAGCAAAACGATAGATTGTCATAACAATTATTATATTGTCTAGTATCTTGTCTGTTCGAGAATCTCGGGAGATTGACAGAATGTTAAAAAGCAAGACATAAAGACATAATTGTTTTTCAGCTTGCATGTTTTGGAGTTCAATGGTCAGAATCAGGGCAAGTCTGGTACCCAGGGTAGAATCAGGGCTGCCTAGAGCGAGCACTGATCTATAAAAAGACTGGATCGAGCTTCCTATCGTCTTGAAACACCAAAGTTTGAAGCCCGTTCAATTCCAAAAGGAAGAGGGCCCCAAACAATAGCGGGAAGCCATTCCTCAAAACCAATATTTCAACGATATGGATACGCGAGAGCTGCAATGCTTTGTGTGTGATTGCTGAAAAAGAACAAGGCCAGAGCAGCTGAAAACATTGTTAGGGGTGACAGAGAAGGCCGTCTCCTCGCATGGGCTGTTCTGGGGCCCTCTTCTCGGATGGCGACACTCTGGTCACATTAGAAGCTCGATCCAGTCTTTTTCATAGATCAGTGAGAGCGAGGCCACGCCGCCTAGAGTGAGGCCGGGTCCCGGGACGACCAATGCGTGTGGCCCATTGCTTGACAACGAATATCGATTTGATTATTGCGGGCCACAGAATGGGTCCCGTCGACCATCCTGATCAGAATTATAACCCCATAGGCCATTGGGAGTTTTCTCCAGTGGCGGCGCCAAGGAGAGTATGGGGGTAATTCCCCCTCCCTACTTTTGTCGCAAAATGGTCTACATATTGCTTCTAAAGACGGATTATAAAGCGCTAGGTAGGGGCAATTCATAATTTCCAAGGAAAGTTAACAAAGTACAAAGCAATGAAACGAGCCAAAACGGGTGTGGTCTCATTGGTCACGCCCATTACCCTCCCACTCTGCAGTAGCTGGCGCCGCCACTGGTTGACACACCTGAAATAAAAATATATTTATTAGAACATTTTACCCATTATGTTTTTTTTCCCATTTCTTTTTTACCCATTTTGTTTTTTTACCCATTTTGTTTTGCCTTTCAGGATGTCAGAACAGCACATCGTCATCACATTTCAAATGTGCAGTTGGACAGTTTAAATGTACATCAGAGAAATGCATTCCAATAGGATGGAAATGCGATGGTGACAACGATTGCCAAGACAATTCAGATGAAGCGGGATGTGGTAAGCTTGCTCCACTGCATTAAACAGCTTCTTTTTGGCAATATATTTTGTCATATTATAAAAGTGTTAAGTCTCCAGGGATGCAGTGTACCCTTTTTTCTAGAATTGTCATTCTAGGGTCGAGGAATTTTCCGAAAAATTGTTTTTTACTTGCAAAAAGAAAATGAATTGTGTCCGTTCACAGTGATATAAAAAATGCTTTCCCTTCTGTGAAAAACTTCACTTATCTGAAGACCTCTCTTAAAGTCTTTGGGTTTCATAATTAAATATTATAGTTATCAAGCCTCTGATCACAGCATGAAAAAAATATTGTTTAGAAAGGAAGATGGGGATGCTGTGTAATGTATTTAGAAATGTTTAGCCCCCCTCCTCCAATAATTTAAAAAATGTATTTAGAACCAAACAAAAAAAGTTGCCCTGCTCTTGAGTAGCATGATCTATAGCCCCCCAAAATGTTTTAGCCCCCCTCAATCTGCTCTGGGGTCCTTGTATGCAAGTGCATGTTTTATCAAGCAGGCTAGAGTTCTTTGGCAGTTATATCTGAATTGAATGTTTATTACAGTAAGCTTAGTTTTAAGCAACTGATTTGATCTTCTAGTTCCATCAACTTGTCATGCTGGTGCAGAATTTCGCTGCCGAAACTCGAAATGCGTCCCAAAGAAATGGGTATGTGATGGAGATAACGACTGTGGCGATCGGTCTGATGAGGCCGCTTGCAGTAAGTTCTTTTCCGCTTTTGGCATTCCTTAGTAACACAGCTGCGTGGCTCGCTGTTTATTCATACCTTGCAACTTATCGCTCATTAATGTTTCACATTTATCTACTCTTTAAAAACACACGAGCAAGGCAATGGTAGATCTAATTATTTCATTTGATACATTCAGGGCTGGAAAATTCTATTTTTGAAGAAACCGGAGTCTGTGCAGATTATCGCGTGCCGTGGTCATAAAACGGATTTGCCGTAATATGGGGGTTGTTTTAAGCAAAATCGGTTTCGTTTGAATCAGGAATATTGAATTATTAGGCGGTCGAATTACCATAACTACATGAATGTATAATTATTCGAGTTAACAACCCCCCCCCAACAACAACCACGACGATTGTATCAATTTTCCGGATTGTGGCGTACCTGTTCCTCCTCCATTCTCAATTTTGCTCTGGCGCCCCAGTAAGTGTAATAAATTATGATATTGAGCTTTTTTCATAGATTCAACGACACCGCCAACGTGCGCATCGAATTACTTCCAATGCAATGACTCTCGATGTTTGCCCGTGCGGTGGAAATGTGACGGTCAACCTGACTGCAACGATGGAAGTGATGAAAATAATTGCGGTAAGTTGATCAGATGTAGCTGTTCGCTATTATCCTCCTTTTTGCGCATTACTTAGCTCCACGATTACCATATTCAAAAGAAGGTTGAAAGGGTATCATGTTCGAAGTATGATAAAATGAAATTGAATTAATGTTTTAATGGAGTTGCAGCAAAATAAGGCTTTTCTCCGGATTACACCGACAGAGTGCCAGCTTCCCCTACAAGAGGATCAGCTTCCTCCACATGAGAGCCAGCATCCCCTAAAAGTGGTTTTTGCGAGAAATACAGTACACAAGATGCCCTGATATGGTTGATTGAACGATGTCGCAAGTGTCTAGACAAACGTGGTATAGTCGGAATGGTGCTTATGGACCTTTCCAAAGCTTTTGATTGTCTGCCCCATGATCTCCTTGTAGCAAAGCTAGAGGTCTATGGTTTTGGCTTGGGTAGCCTAAGAATGCTTCACAGCTACCTTACTTTCCGTAAACAGCGAGTTAGAATCGACTCTAGTTATAGTTCGTGGCTCGATATCACATCTGGTGTACCGCAAGGTTCAGTACTTGGCCCTCTGTTATTCAATATTAACATAAATGACTTGATTAACTTCATTGAAAAGTCAGAAATATGTTACTTTGCTGATGATAACAGCTTGTTCGCCGGTGACCAAAAAATTGAACAAGAGATGTGAAGCTGTTGTAACTAATAATGATTTGGATAGGTCCTTTATCAAATCGCAGAAATGATAATAAAGTTGTATATCAAATTCCAATTATCATAATTGCACGAGAGACAGCCCTACAAAATTGCGTTAATAATTTCCCTTCTGCAACTCGCGTGATAGCTAACAAACACAAAGGTGATCATAACCATGCAGCATTATTGTTTCTACAACTGAAATTGCGCTAAGCTCAGTCCCTTTTAGTAAGCCGCCCAATCGCTGCAAAATCTACTTATGGTACACGTCTAAGCTATGGCATCCGGCTATGTTGAAGGTTACGTTAAACGTTTCCTAGATGAAAACATCCATCTTTCGATTTCTTCACTTTCTAGTAGTCAAAGTTTCAAGACACATAATGACACCTTGTTTGAGTCTATAAAAAGTTTTGAAAATGGAATAAACCCCATGTAAAAAACGAAGGTTTCTTTAATTTTTTTATCAAAGTTTTTAGTTGAGGTCTGAAAATTGCTTGACCTGTTAAGCCGATTGTTGTTGCTTTGCGGTTGTGGTCACATGGCACATCCATGTACGGCTGCATTTATTTAAGCAGGCTTATTTATCTTTAAGTTTCAAATGACTTGACCCGGATTACGCTGTGGTTTACGAGTGTACCTTGCAAGTGGGACCACTCGGGATGCCCGATTTCTCTGCATACAGGTACGAAAAAGCTACTTAGCACCCAAGGAACCAATCGAATGGTTAAACAATTTCCACACGGCAGGTTGGAATCACCACATTCTTGTGCATCAAATGATGTATGGTTTTATCCGATTCCGTTGATAGTTTTAGGGAGAGAAAACCATATATCAAGTCAAAAATGTTTATCATAACCTTTAGTTCGCATAATTTGTATCTTGAATAAATAATAAGAAGTGGGCCAGTTGCACAATAACTGCCACGCCAATTGCAAAATTTGTAACACTGACTGGTAGGCCACCTCTCGAAGGGACAATATTCCCCTTGAAGGGACAAGATTCGTCTTGCAGGGACAATATCTGTCTTGCAGGGACAATATTCCCCTTGAAGGGACAAGATTCGTCTTGCAGGGACAAGATTCCCCTTGAAGGGACAAGATTCGTCTTGCAGGGACAATATCTGTCTTGCAGGGACAAGATCCGTCTTGTAGGGACAAGAGATCTAAAAAGGCTACATGTCTGAGATAATTGGCAGAGCCTGGTATTGTTGACCGTTGAAACATGGGACAGAGTTGGGAGATCTTTAGGATTTTGATACTGGATTTGCGAATAGAATTCCCAAAAACAAATATATCATCAGCGGATTGTCTATCTGAATTTAAATTTCTGGAGACATGCCTTATTACGCGAAATTATGGGTTTGACTCAATTAAGGAATGCCATTTCACAAATCTCTTTTAAAAACACACCTTAAATTTTGCATCCCCTTCTTTACTCGTGCCTTAAATTGGGCAATCGGTCAACAACTTTTAGACAACTCAGATTGTCTAAAAGATTGTGCTAAACTCTATAATGACGACATGTTTCGGATAATTGGCAGAGCCCGGTCGTCTTTCTATCTAGCAGTTTTGGAATCGATCTACATATAAACGAAAAGCCGCCATTGTATAGACAGAATGAGTTTGTTTTCTCTCTTGGACTTTTCTTTCTCTCAGCGGTGGTTTTCCTATAGGCACAAGGCACTGATTGGTCAACCATACCGGTCTTGTGCTCGCGTCTTGGTATATGTTTTTAATCGTGTTCTATAGGACCCTTATTCTGACGTTTTATACTCTGAGGAGTGTCAGACGAAAAAGCTTTTAGCCAATATGTTGTACAATGTTTGGTTTGTTCAAAGCCAATTTCAAATTTCTGTTAGCAAACCCCTATTTAACCAAAGACCTGCTTTTCGATTGTTAACTAAAATGCTTGGCAGTTAAATTGGAAAATTACATATGGCAGAGTTTCTTTGTTCTATAAAATTAGAGAATAGCTATGAAAAACGCAATTGATATAATAACCTGACCAAAATTCCAAGAATACAAATGATATTGCCGTAGCAACGATTTTATAGTTACCATAGAAACTGTGAAAACGAATAAAAATGTTGATTTAAAATGCTTGATGTAAAAAGCGAGCACTGAAGGTAAAGTGAGCAATTGGACTTCCTCTCTGCTGCAACCGATTTCTTGATAGCTAATGCTAGGTTAGCATAAATATGCGAGTCTCCCACTCGAGACGAGCTTCCGACTCTGAATACTCTTCAAAGGGTTTCTCATAGCAAAGAATGCAGCCGTACCACACTGCAATTTACAAACTGCAGGACACTGCAACATCGGTTTTTCAAATTTGTTTCCTCTTTTTCTAAATCTGCTAGGCACTTTTCCTCTTACAAATCTCACTGTGCTCAGTTATTTTTTGGTATCTCCTCCGTGGTGGCCAGTGATGTTGATAGCATGATACTCGGTCAACAAAGTCACATGTCATACGTGATAATAATTCTGATTCGGCCTTGATTGTTGACTTTTATTATTATTATTATTATTATTGTTATTTTGAAGCATTACTTATTGGATGTGTTTAATACTGATACGTACAATTATAAAACTGAATCAGAAATTGAACTTTCTTTATATTTGCTGTTTTCGATATCGATGTCAGTCTATTTGGATATTGCGATTGTACCTGCAAATCCCCTTGTCTTGTTGTTTATCTTGGTTTCTTGCATTTTCTTAGGAACATCCAAATGCGCAACAGATGAGTTTCAATGCAAGAATGGCAACTGCATTACGTCACGGTGGCGTTGTGACGGTGACAATGACTGTGGAGATAACAGTGACGAAAGTGGAGACTGTCGTAAGTTTTCATCGGACCAGACCCATTCATTCAATCGGTTTTTGTGTTCCTTTTCAGCTTTAACTTAGAAGCTTGATGCAAATTAAAATTTTCACTTGTTTCAAACTTATTGCGAGTATATCCGGTTACAGATTTTCAATGACAATTCAATATTCAACTTGTTTAGTTTATGATGCACAGAATATTTGCAAAAAAGTCCGCAGAAAATTTCTGAAAAATGCATTTTTTACCATTATCGACCATTATCGTTGACAAGGATAATTAACAAGGCACTCTAGTACGCTTTTTTTATCACTTCAGCTAAGGAACACTTAGATCACTGTACCCACTTTGTGACAAGGTCACTGTACCCACTTTCTTGTCACTACCCGATTAAGATTGTGTGTTACCCATTATAGGTCCTGCAACGTGTTCAAAAACGGCTTTTCGCTGCGGCAGTGGCCAGTGCATTCCCTCAAGATGGCGTTGCGATGGGGACGCTGATTGCCGCGACAAATCTGATGAAGCAAACTGCAAAAATATGACAACAAAAGCACCGACAACTTGCCCCCCAGAATTCTGGAAATGTGCCAATTCTCACTGCATTTTGAGCTCTTGGAAATGCGATGGTGATAAAGACTGCCCAGACGGGTCAGATGAGGACAGCTGTGGTACGTTATTGCTTGTTGAAAGTCTTTTTGCGAAAGATAGGCCTACAGAACAGATCATCAGTGAAATGTAATTTATTTTGCACAGACATTCTAATCAGGCGTGCAGGCTGCAGAGTCTGGTTGTGCAGGTCTGATTAGCTGGTTCTTAGTAAACTATTCACAGGCTGTGCCGATAAAAGAAGATGTATTCGAAACGGCTAGACATTGTTTATGGCATCTTTTGGTTAATAGACATGACCTGCACAGGGTGGTCACAATGATAAGTTCTTAATATTCAATTCAAATACGTAGATCATAGGTTATGTGAACATATATTACTCTGTGTGATGCAACACCAAATAGGTCTTAGATAATTTCTAATTATTTTTCTTTTCGTCTTTCTTTCTATTCCCTCCAGACGTCTTATTCATTTCTGTAAGCGCCACAGATTGTATGTGTTCCCCTTTTCTGTGCAAATTTCTTAATTTCAGTATTGAAATTAAACCGCCTCCTCTTGAAATCTGTTTACCTTGGCCTATGTAAATGCTCTCATGAGGCATTAATGCACGTAGTACCCCTGACGACCATTTGCAAGAAACTGAGCTCAAGATTTGTGACGCAGTTTCTTAGACCCCGTTTACACTGTGCCGGATAAATTTTATTCTCATCAAAATTAGTTCAGATAGGCTTCGCGTTTACACTATACCCACGCTATCTGCATGAATTTTTTCACCTAGGAAACCATGAATCTGTTCACCGGAACAAAATAAGTTCACCTAGGAAAGTGGATTAAATTAGTTCGTAAACCTATGTGGTACAGTGTAAACGGTTTTATCCGGATAAATTTTATTCACATCGTACCTTGCTCAAAAGCGATTGGCTATTTCTTCCTATCTTCCTTCCGAAGACCTTTCGCCATCTTGGCTGCCTTATAGTTGATAAATGCTCGTGTTTTAGAATTGCAGTATCTTTGTCAGTTCACGTAAAATTGGCAGCTTTGTCAGCTTTCCTTGCTTTCTTCGCTATTTCAGCATCATTTCAGCGAAAAAAGACTATTTCAACGAATTATTAAAACTAACTTTGCCTAATTTGTTTTGACAATACCTTCGGACTTCGACTGAAAGAGAAGCAGATGATTCTGGAAGAAATTAAAAGTCTTTTTACGTTGGGGGAATTTAGCTGTTTTTTTGGCCCAGAAATGACTTCGTTTTGGGCGTTCTGTGCACAATTTAGGTCACGTAACGGCAGTTATCCGGCACAGTGCAAACGGGAGGGCAAAGTGGACAAAATTTGTGTGGCACAGTGAAAACGCAAATCAACCCGAACAAGTTTTATGCGGATAAAGTTTATCCGGGACAGTGTAAACGGGGTCTTAATGTGTTTGTTGATTTTAGAACTAGAAGTTTCTTTACTGCCAAGTGCTAAAGAACTAATTCTTACAAACACAAAATTTACTTTAAGATTACTTGAAACAGAATACCTAATAAGTCGCAAGGAGATCTCTTTCTATCTTCGAAATTTTACAGTTGAAACAGAAATAGATAGCTTATCGTCAAAAAATAATTTTTTTCTTAACTTCAATAGAGAAATTTTTATACCTCTTTAGAGTTCTTTGAAGGTCAGAACTATAGCTTTTTAATTTTTTTGGCCATCATATAGCTCGGTTTCTTATAGCTCGGTTTCTTATAGCTCGGTTTCTTATAGACGGTTTCCTATAGGCGGTTTCATTTAGGCAGTTTCTTATAGCTCGGTTTCCTGTAGGCGGTTTCTTATAGGCGGTTTCTTATAAAACCGCGCGTATTGTTGCTCAACACGTTCCTTTTCTCAATGTACCAGTACTTGTGGCTAGAGACCAAAAAAGCTGCAAAGGAAAACCTGCATCAAGAGTAAGTTTACTCAGTCTGTATCTGTGTCCGAAATTTGATTGATTTGTTGAAGGAGCTAGCCCATCATTTTCATATATTTTATTCTTTAAAACGCAAGAAATCGTTCTATTTATTTGAATAATTATGTTCTTGTTGACTATAGACCGCGTCACCTGCCCAACAAGGAAGCTTGCGTGTGCCAGTGGAAGGCAGTGTTATGAGAAGAGCCAAAGGTGCAATTCTGTTCAAGATTGCAAAGATGGGTCAGACGAGATTGGCTGTGGTGAGTACCCCCCTTGCGCATCCTCTGAGTATTCCTAGAAAACAGTTTCGTTTTGTTGTATCATTGCGGTTGTTAATGTGATTGTTATATCGATGTCGAGTTCTTTACAGATGCCCAGCATTGCAAAAATGTTGATTGTTTGTTTAAGATGGGAAGATGGGAGTCTTTGATACATTTTTTCGGGTTGCCAGAATTGTTCCTGGGGGGTATGTAGGGGAACAGGGACTGAGTTTATAACAAAAATGGCCGTCTTGTACCACTGATCTAAAAAGGACTGGATCGAGCTTCCTTATGTCTTTTATCAACAAAGTTTGAAGCCCGCTCAATTTCAAAGAAAGAGGGCCCCAAACAAAAGCGGGATGTCATTCCTCAAAACCAATTCTTGAATAATATCGATATGCGAAAGCTGCAGTACCGTATATGAAAAATCGAGAAAAAAAATTGTCAGAGCAGCTGAAAACATTGCTACGAGTGACAGCGAGGGTCCTTTTCTCCCATCGGCTGTTCTGGGGCCTCGTCTCGGATGGCAACACTCAGGTCACATTAGCAGCTCGATCCAGTCTTTTTATAGATCAGTGTCTTTGACTTCTTGCTAATGTTGATTGCCACATACTGTTGCATAGTATTACAACCCTGCTTGAAAATGACGTTTGGGTCTGAATGCCTCATGCATGTGAATGCCTCTTGTTTTTGATATGTAAATTTGTTATGCAACTTTCTAAGAAGTAATTTGTTTCTTAAATAGCAACTGGTACGCTTATCTGTACCAAAGATCATTTCAACTGCACAAAAACAAAATGCATTGAAAATTCGAAGGTATGCGACACAAATCGAGATTGTCCTGGTGGTGAAGACGAGCCAGCCAACTGCTGTAAGTGTTTGCGACTTTTATTGTTTGTGCTGCATGCTACACAACCGATGTTTCGTAACGTAGTTCACACTAGACGAATCCCAAAGATTTTGTAACCTAATTGTCAATCTTGAACGTCTAATTTTATCCATAAAAGCAATCGTAGTTTAATACCTAGTGAAACCTGAGGTTGAGGAGCATGTTATTATGTGCCTTGCATTATATTTGCTTAATTGTCAACGTTGGTTTTGGAAGGGCGAAAACCTGGTAGTATTCAGGAACAGAAACGATTGGTTTAGAATCAGGCCTCGAGACGCTTGTTGATTCAAGTAGTTTTGGCTCCATTTGGGGAACATGTTGAGCGCTGTTTTAGACGCTTATTTTGGAGGAACATTTTATTTAGTATTCTCTTGCTAATCAGAGTTTCACGATCAGTGTTATCATCAGGCATCGGCCTAATTGAGGGAGTTCAGCATAATTGTCGCACTCCAGCCACACTTTCCCGATTATGTACGCCGCTGGACATGATGTACGCCATGTACTCCATACCAGAGGTGGAAAAAGTATCGGAACCTGGGAACGTAGTTCCCAGAAATTTTTCTAGATGAAAATGTTAGCAGAAGTTTCACAGAAAATTTTTGAAGTGTCAAAGTAAATATAAAAATCTGGTGACATAGGTTAAGTCAAATTAGCAGAAAATATTATTTCAACTCGCCTGTGAGCAGCTAAATTTGAGCTGCCAAAGGACTGTGGGAATTAGTCTCTTTCCATTGGAAAGAAATTCTTTGTGCACATTATTTACATTCACCATTTCACAGAAATCTCAGCCACTCACGATCAGAATTTTTTTAGCAGCTGAGCTTTTAAGACAAACCATGATTAAGGCTGAGATTAATATAGGGACTGGAATCTACTTTCACAGAAAATATTTCTGGCACCATGGTGTGAGCAGCATTGATCATAAGTTAACATGCTTGGTTACATTAATCTGTTGCATGCTAGGACTCCATTTTAACCACATATTGCTTCTCACTTGTCAAAAGATTAGGCTAAGCCTTCTACATAAAATGCACCATACAATTCAAATGATTTTGTCCCTGACTCTTCTGCAACTATGTTTGGAGATTATTGCGTGGATTGTCCTTTTGATTTTGGTTTTCCATCATGATGATTGATTGAATGAATCGATTTCTAGCTAAAGTTGATTTCTTTCTTATGTGCATTTATGGATTTATTACAGGCATATCTAATATGTTGAGAATGACTGTTTTGGAACAATAGTCAAGATCTCCGATGTTAAACAACACTGAAATGTTAAGAAGTTGATTGCCTGACAATCTTATGCATTCGATTTAACCTTCTATAGAAATACTTCGAGAGAAAAAAAAACAAACTAAGCATTAAAATAAAAACAAATTGAACATTCAAACGAGAAGTGTCATACTTCTTAAAATTAAGTTTGCCCTCTTTTATACATCAACTAAGTATAGAGATATAGACACAAACAGAAAGTTTATTTGTCTACCCCTAAATCTTGCAGAAAGTTTTGAGCCAGATTTATAGGTTCCCAGAAAGAAAATAAATTTTTCCACCTCTGCCCCATACCATGTATGCCATACCATGTACGCCATACCATGTACGCCATACCATGTACGCCATACCATGTACGCCATACCATGTACGCCACACCATGTTCGCCACACCATGTACGCCCTAGCATGTACGAAACATCTTACAGGCATTTAGAATCTGATGGAAATAGAAACAGTGATGCGGAATCTTCTGTTTTGAATATAGATCTCAACTTTGGCACAGGACTCAGGTTCCAGAATTATTCTTAGCCATTTGGTGCTAGATTGCAACATCTGACCCAATCCAGATTTGTTTTGTGTGTTATTACTTTGCATTGCATTCACGCCAAATCACTTGTAACCATTGCAGTTACTTCCTCAAAATTTGTTCCCGAGTCTCTCTTAAGAATTTATATTTACGTTCTTCATAGTTTTATCACCTGGACTACTGCAAAGTTTAAAATCAAATTAGCACAAACGTACATACTTTATTTGGTGCTCTTTTTATTTTAAATGCGCCGTAATTTTTTATGACAATCTTTTTGCAGTCATCAATGAGTGCTTGGACCATAATGGCCACTGTTCGCACAAATGCACCGATCTCAAAATAGGCTACAAATGCTCTTGTCTGCCTGGCTTTGCCCTTGGTTCCGATGGTCATAGCTGCAATGGTAAGATTTTATTTTGCTTTATGCGTCAGTTGAATAATATGACTATGTTATTTTTGAATTGGCTATCCATGTTGTGTCTGCGAGATAAATCTTTTGTTGCTGTTAACGATTATGCCAGTCAATCTGTGTGGCTGACCAAACAGATTCGCTGCTTGATCGTTTTCTTAGGCTGATATTTGTTGCCTTTATACCATTTTGTTAAATTCCTTTGATATATCCCAAACCATTGGTACATTGACGTTGTGTACACGACGACTTTCCGATTCTCAGAGTAAAAAAAGGTTTGGTAGCTTACAAACCGTGATAGACAGCGAAGCAATTTCCTTACCAGGACTTGTCTTATAACATCATATTGCTTTGCCTAAAAAGTGATTATTAGAGCAAAATTGTGGTTTTTTGCTCATGGGAGTCAACGAATTCATGGTGACGTTTAGAGAAAAAGACAGTTTACTATAAAATGTAATATTTAACAACGTTTTGTCTCAAACTTGAGGATTTGTAGCTATGTGTGGACGCTTTTTCGGTGAGTATTCAAGTTTGTCGGCAAATAAAGGCTGTCTCACACACTTCGTTGGCAAATAAGGTCTGACCACCTACCTAGAGAAAAAAAAGAAAGCAATTAAACTGCTAACATTAATTTAAGAACAAGTTAAGAACTATCCAGCTTCAGATTTTTGAAAAAATTAAGAGCAGTCAGCCGGAACTGAAATTTACTGGTTCTTATGAGAAAGAGTGCAGTTTGTGCAAGTTTAATCAAGTTTTGATTTTCCATCAAGCTGTACTAAAACTGCCAGTTACGGATTTGCGTTTTGACGAAGAAGGACAAGAATGGGCTGGGATCGTTTGGGGCTTAGTCTAGCCGCGAATAATACTTTTGAATTAAATCATCTGCTCATGAGATTTAGAATATACAGTAGTACAATTGCTGCAAAACGAAGATATGTTTTTTCTATTGTGGTAAGAATTTGAATGATGTCTGTTGCGGTATTCGTAAAGATGCTGAAAGCTTTTGCTAATTTAACAGCTTGGTTGCTCGTTTCCATTGCACAAATTTGAATAACAATGATTCCATGCCAAGGGTTATCGGCTGGCAGCCCACATCGTCAAAGATCTTAGATAAGAACAGTTTAAAAGCAACATGACAAGTAAGAAATGCGAGGATTTTTGCAGACACGAATCTGGTAAAGAAGACGGAAAGCCTTTAGTCTTTTACAAAAGCTTATACAATTCCCAAAACTGACTGTATGAATATCATGGACAGCTTAAGTCTGAGATAATCGGCATAAACGATTTAAATAATTTGAAAATTAGTTGTCAAGTCTGTTTTGGTGAAGACTGCAGTATGCAGCACTACAAAAAGTTACGAGAAACCTTATTAAAAAGGTTAAAACCCTCCTGTGGCGTAGCGGTATTTCTGGTTAGACGCCCTCAGAACTCTACGAGTTCTCGAGCAATATTCGAAATGAGCAAGCCAGTTAGGTTAGAGGTCAAGAAGGCCTTGGTACCTTTAAGAAAAGATAAATCGCTTTATTTAACGCCTTCTTTTTAACGCCCGTCTTGAGGCCCTCAAGTGATGCCCTGATCAAACGAATCAAACTTCGGAATACCTAATACAACGTTTGTTTGACTAGCAAAAGCGCAGTTAGTGAAACCTTGAAAATATACCGCGGTAACTATTGAAAGCTTTCAGCAGCACTTGACCACCGCAAATTTTCCGACATTTGTTTGTTTCGTTTTACCAGGCCATAAAAGATCGGCCAATGTCATTTGGCCCGACCTTAATACCCGCGGCGTTGGATAAAGGGTTTGCCACAAGCTGAGTACTTGACCATTTGCCTTTGAGCAATGAGACTTTGTTGGAATGATGGTAGGTGTTGGCGTACCGCAACCATAGTAATGTTAATTCAAGGTGAACACGCTTATGATAGGGCTAAGACGAAAAATGCATTTTCTAGAACTATCAGACCCTCTGAGAGCTTTTCTGAGTCCTGGAGCAATTTGTCCCCTGTCCTCTCTCGTTCGTCCTGAATACTGCTAGCTTGGTTTAGTCTTTTCCTGGAAGTTCTCCTGAGAGATTCGGTAGAGGCTAGGGTGAATCTGACATCATCTATGTACGAAGGGTTTTTCTGATGATATGTTGCGCTCAAAGTGCTCATGTGCACCTGCGCCAAGTTGACAGTTAAAAAATGAATGAAAATGCCGTTAGAGCACTCGTGTGTGCCAAAATCTGCACTACCGTTCCACGCCAAAGTCCTATGGCAAAATTCCACGCCAAAGTCCTATGGCAAAGTTCCACGCCAAAGTCCTATGGCAAAGTTCCACGCCAAAGTCCTATGGCAAAGTTCCACGCCAAAGTCCTATGGCAAAGTTCCACGCCAAAGTCCTATGGCAAAGTTCCACGCCAAAGTCCTATGGCAAAGTTCCACGCCAAAGTCCTATGGCAAAGTTCCACGCCAAATACCTTCTGCGATGAGGTTACAAACCTTGATTCACATCAAGTTACAAAGTAGTACCCAACAGAATGGTGCTATGAAATTTTCGGCTCAACGCTTTCTCTCTAACTGATATTGACATTTTGAATTTTTTATGCCAGTGTTGTGGATACCGTGGTTTGCAGATTTTAATGTTAATGTGTCTTTTAGATTTGAATGAATGTTCAGAGTATGGGAGTTGTCATCAACTTTGCACAAATGAGAAAGGAAGCTACAAATGCTCATGTGCAAATGGCTATCTCTTGGCAGGGGATCGCAAAGCTTGCAAATCCGGAGGTTTGATTACGTATACTTCTCTTTAATTTTGCACATGACAATCCAAGTAACAAAGTTTTGCTGGTATCAACGATTTTCGAAGAAGAATTCGAACAAATGTGGTAAAATAGTTTAAAATGGTAATCTGAGTTGTGTTGCCGATTCTTTGATTGCTGACCAATTAAAAGTTTTGTTAAGATGTACTTAACGTATTGGCATAATCTTTTTAAATAAACCGTTGCGCCATGTAGGCCAAATTTGCCGGTCATCTTACAACAAGAATACTTAAAGGAACGGAATGTCAAATGTCATGCCCAGAACGTTACAATGGAACGTAGCATAACGCAACATAGCATAACGGAACGTAGCATAACGGAACGTAGCATAACGGAACGTAGCATAACGAAACGTAGCATAACGGAACGTAGCATAATGGAACGTAGCATAATGGAACGTAACATAACGGAACGTAGCATAACGAAACGTAGCATAATGGAACGTAGCATAATGGAACGTAACATAACGGAACGTAGCATAACGAAACGTAGCATAATGGAACGTAGCATAATGGAACGTAGCATAACGGAACGTAGCATAATGGAACGTAGCATAACGGAACGTAGCATAATGGAACGTAGCATAATGGAACGTAGCATAATGGAACGTAGCATAATGGAACGTAGCATAATGGAACGTAACATAACGGAACGTAGCATAACGAAACGTAGCATAATGGAACGTAGCATAATGGAACGTAACATAACGGAACGTAGCATAACGGAACGTAGCATAATGGAACGTAGCATAATGGAACGTAGCATAACGGAACGTAGCATAATGGAACGTAGCATAACGGAACGTAGCATAATGGAACGTAGCATAATGGAACGTAACACATAGCATAATGCAATGACAGTAAGGTGAAATAACCTAACATAATACAATGTAACATAACGCAACAAAACATAGCGTTATGTAACATAACGTAATAATTTTTTTAAAATGATACGTTAGGCTGTGAGAAAAGCAGACATTTCATGACATACTTTTAAAGGACAAAATAATGTTTGACAAATTCTAACTTATGAAATATGTTATTTCAAGTTTCGGATCGATGTAGACCAATAAAAAATGCGAGCAGATGACCGACAGGTGCTTAACAGCGACGTCTACAAAATATGAGGGTCTCCGAGGGGTTTTCGGGAACATGGCAGAAAATGGTACAGGAAGACGGGAACATGGGAACATTATTTTTATTTTTCAACGGATATACGGAAACATTAGTTGTTTCTTTCAAAAGGAACACGGGAACAAGTACCCCCTGGGAGACTCCCAAATATTATGACTACCTTTTTTATTATGATGATAAATCGATGTTGATATGATTTTTTGTCACTTTTTAGGCTCCTTCACTCCAAGATTGATCTTTGCAAACAGGTATGATATCAAGAGCTATACGCTCAACGGCTCCGACTACAGACTTGTCGCCGGTGGAATGAAGGGCATCGTAGGCCTAGATTTTGATGTCGCCAACAATTATGTTTACTGGACTGACGTTACTCATGAAATTCTACAGCGTGCTCGCATAGATAAATATAGTTCAAACGAACTGCTTTTACGTAATTTACACACCCCAGATGGTCTAACTGTTGACTGGATTGGAAGGAAACTGTACTGGACCGACACTGGTCTCAAGAAAATCGAAGTTGCTGAAATGGACGGTACTAAGAACACGGATTTAGTTGAATTTAATGCTACCGGACAGCCCCGAGCCATAGCCTGTGACCCTAACGAAGGGTGAGCCGTTATTCATTTATTTTGATTCGCCATCTAAACACCAGTGAACCCAGAATCTTAGACCCCGTTTACACTACAGAAAAAAGAACGGAACTCTTTGATTCCGTTCTTGTTTGGGCACGATACCTCTTTTGTCATCGCGTCTACACTATTGTGAAAAGAAACGGAACCAAATTTTTGCCCGTTTACCCTTGAGTAAAAAGAACTGAACTTTCACGCGACGCATGCGCAGTGACGCAGCAATGACGTCTGAGATTATAAAAAAAGCCTCTCCCCAACCCTAGATTAAGCTCCGTTTTCAATCGTAACCAAAAAGTTTCGTTCCTGGCCGTTTACATTAGGAAAAAGAAGAACGATTTGGGAACGGAACCAAAGAGTCTTGCATTTTAGCGAAACCAAAGAAGAACGGAACCGTTCCTAAACTAGTCCTGAATCAAGATGCTTAGTGTAAACGCAAGGCCTATCATCGCTTTTTCAAGCACAGAACCAAGGAGTCCCGCTCTTTTTTCTGTGGTGTAAGCGGGGTCTTGGAAGAATTCAACTGGGAATCTTAGAACACAGAATCTTAGAGAATTTTCAACAACGATTTTGTTTTTATAAAGTTGATTCAACTTCGAAATTTAGGCCATTCCAGCTGAAATGCTTAATCCACGATTTATTGCTCTTTTACTCTGGTCTAACAATTTTAATTCGCAATGTATTTTTCTCTTTTTTCTTCATTTAGCCTATAAGACGTATCTTTGCCCTGCTTTGCTAGGTATCTTTATTGGACTGATTGGGGAAGTCAAGCTGGAATCGAGCGAATTGGCATGGACGGAGACAATTCTACTCGACAGCATCTTATATCAGACAACATTGTTTGGCCAAACGGACTTACACTTGACTTTGCGCAGAACAAGATGTATTGGGTTGATTCTAAATTGAAAAGACTTGAAGTAGCAAACATGGATGGAAGCGGAAGAAAGCTATTGGCCCATAACACCTTGAACAAGCCCTTTGCACTCACCAATTTTGAGGATAACCTCTACTGGACGGATTGGGAAACAAAGGGTATTAGAACCATGAATAAGTTTAAAGAACCATACGAAGTGAAAACCTTCAGCATGAACCACATGTCTCCCATGGGCATCAAAGTTCTGCATCCCCTGAAACAGCCAGCAGGTAGTACATTATGTTCTCAGTTTTGGCCCTGTAGTAGTTCTTATTTTAATAGAAAGTGCAGTAGCTAGTGGCATCGACCAATAGTTGCGCAATGAAATATAGATAGTTTAGATATGATAAAAAGAATCCACCATAGGTTTACATAATGCTGCTCTCTACTTTGTTTACAAATCCTCATCGAGCATCTGTCTTTCTTTCAGTTTCAGTTCAAGTTTCCATTGACAATTATAACTAAATATATTATACAAATCTATGCAATTGAATTACCTAAATTAACTAAACAATCAAAATACATGACAATCAACTAATACAGACAATACTACAAATACATCCACGCCAGACACAGAAGAAAATGAAAAAGGCACAATACTGTACAGAACATAGAATGATCATGGGTCTCAGAAGCAGTCAACAAGACTACATCTGAAAACCATGCTCATATGTATTTAGGTTTAATTGTCTAAAGAGCCCCCCTAGATCCCTCTTTCCATCTTAGCATGCCTTTTGAATGTTGAAATAAATCTGCAGCTCATAGTGAATTGCAGTTGACGCTTCTACCGAAAAACTTTAGGGGAAATGGACACAAGACACAATTTTGCCATCAAGGGTTGGTGTGACACAAGCCGGTCGCGACGCCCCTATTTGTAGAACTAAACAACCCATATGGGTTTTCAAAAATATTGCTCAGTGAAAAAAGGGTTAGATTACACAGACAAAATTAGGATGTTAGCATATTTCAGATTACCCTGTTTCGTATAAAAATCCACGAAGAAAATTTGACAAGCAAGTCATTTGCATTAGGATATCATTTTATTATTACGACAAAGAGGAAGGGGGGTAATTACTATCGTATGCCATTTTTAGGTATCAACCCATGTGGAAGTAACAATGGTGGCTGCAGCCATCTTTGTCTGATTTCAAGAAACGAAGAAAGATTCTCATGCCAATGCCCGCGAGGCATGTACATCCAGGCCGACGGTAAGAAATGTGGAGGGACTCCTGTTACGCGGAAACCAAGACCAAGCCAGTATCCAATTTCCACTGGAAAAACCACACCTGTTCCTTCTCGGAAGACAGTAACTAGTGGCTTTACCCAAGGAACAGTTAAGCCTGTTGCAACAACAGAAAATGACCAAGGGGTATGTTTTTAGCGACTGTTTTTTTTAAGGGCAAGACAAGAGTTAATTGTTTGGACATGACGCTTGTAATTGTTTGGATGCGTGGATTGTCAAGATTCGATGAACCATTCATTAAATGGAAATAATGCAAATACCTCCAGGGGCGGACACTTGGTCAACAATTGGGGGGCGAGCCTATTATTTTGATAAGATGACGTCACATTATCCCATTGTTTTAGAACAAAAGACCAATGTTCTCCAGACTATAAGGGGGGACCGCCCCCCTCACCAACAGGTGTCCGCCACTAATACCCCCTTCCCCCAAACGAGTGTTTCACGCAGCCGTTTTCTTCTTGACCTTACAAAATCATTCAACCTGCCAGAAAGTCAAACAGCTATCATATGACATGTATTCCGTCAAAATGTTTCATCCAAACTTGACCTACCAATAGAATTACATCTTTAGTGGGCGGAAAACATTCTGTAGACAACTGCAAGCTGACTTGATCTTTAAATTTGGGTTAAAAGTGGAAAATCCTCCATTGATTCCCGAAAACAAAGACTCATGTTCAAGGAACTTGATTACCAGATGTGGATCGAGGTTATTGTGGCTGTTGTTTTCATGCAGCCAATTATTTTCTAGAACAAAATTTCGGATCAAAGTTAGGTGTTAAGCCTCAAAGAATGGCTCCGCTGACATTTATGAAAATACAAGTACAAGAGTTTTTACGATTACCACCGTCTGATGAAATCTTAATGATATAGTTTCATTATTTTTTTACAATGTTTGGACTGATGTTTTTAATAACGTTCATTTGTTATTACGTCACCAGGGTAAAAAACAAAGCACTAAGAGTCAACAGACCACCCTAGTTCCTGAGGTCAGAAATCCTGAAAAATCAACAAAGCCTGAAGGTATCATATGCAATAACATTCTGTAGCATTCTTATTCTCATTTTCCAGCAATTAATTAAATATTGATTTGGATAAGTCCATACTGTTCTTTGATGGTCTATATTACAGTTTTAATATAGTACTCTTCTTTCGATGTATACGAATAAAATTGAATTGAATTGACTTGAATTGGATTACTGATTAAAGAAGACATCACAATATAACTTTTTAGTAACCTAAAAATGGACGAACCAATTCCTGCTATCACAAGGCTTGCATACATCTATAGACTACTTTTATCGGTGTTTTCTTATTTTTTTTAATTTAAATGTATTTTTTTCTAAATTTGGTTTTTAAGATCTCTGATTTTAGAATTGAAATAGCCATAATAGAGTTCTAAAGTGATGACGTCACAAAAATCTTTTTAGAATTTTTTAATTTGGACCCCATAACCTGAAAGAGCATCATGAAATACCTCTAAATTTGCAAAATCAGGCAAGCGTATTACGAAATGATAGAGATATGGCCACATGTTTATTGGCTCTCTCCCCATCAAACCTCTGTATTTTGGTCTCTGTTCATAACTTTATGAACAGAGCCAAAATAACAGTGATTCGTTAGCAAACTTCAAATCTTTCATTAGCCATATCTCAACCGATTTTAGACATATTTGGCCAATTTTGCGTATTTGAAAGTATTTTATGGTGATCTTTTACGTGGTTAAAATTCAAAAATTCTAAAAAAAGGTTTTTGATGACGTCACACTTCAGAACTCTATAGCCATTTTAGAATAGCCATAAAGGGCTCAGTGGATTGGTTCACAGACTAAGATCCAAGGATTGTGTCCCCCATATGACTGAACTTTCAGTTAGTGGGGAGGGGGGAGGGGAGTCGCTAGCTCTGATATGGTTTCGTCGAGAGGAAGAAAATGTCTTCTAAAGCTCGGTAAATGCAAGATACAGAATAAACTATTTACCGTGCTTCTTTCAGCACTTCATCATTGATACCTTAGGACCTGTTAACAAGTATATTGTATACAACATCGTTATTCCCATTTCAGATGGGACCGGTGCATCTGTGGGGCTTGTGATCGGCATAACGCTTTCACTTTTGGTTATTTGTCTTGGCATTGGCACTGGAGTTTGGTACTACAGAACGAGGCAACAAGGACAGCATAGTATCATGTATTACAAGGACATGTCAACTGCTCCACTGGAGGAAGACTTTGACGGTAGTAATGACGAAGAAAAGACCAAGATACCGATGGAATATGAGGGTGTGTAGGGGCTTAACTTAGGTAGAATCTATCTCTTGCTTCTGGGTCGAGAAAAGGCAGGCTTATCTTCTAGCAAATTAGATAAAAATGTACAGATGATATTTGTGAGACAACACAGCGAAGAACTCTGGATGTGACTGTCTTTATTTTTGATCATAGTTTGATGATAACGCGCTCATTTTCTTGGTACTGCAAAACTTGTTGAACAATGGCAGCATGTTACCAAGATTCCGCTTGTTTTAAAGTTAGGCCTTCTTCTCATCCCAATGGCGGGAGGAACTGCTTTCTAATTATTAGTAATATCACGTTTATTGGATTATTGAACTCTCATAAATTATTTGTCGTATTAAAATTATCGTGGATACAACAGCATACAGATGCTTATTTATACTGATAAAAATGTCGGATATTGCCTTACTTACTTGCGATTTCATGATGACTTTTAACTGTTTTGCCTTTCGTAAATTTAGTTAAAGAGAGGTAATGACTGTTAATGCCGATTTGATCGCTTACAAGTGGGAAGAAAAGAGTCAATCAGCCATTGATTATTTTGCACCATAAATTCAAACTTCTGTCTTAGTTAGTTCGTAACTTAAATTAGCAGAAAAAGTTGTGTTTGAAACAAGCAAGGAGCAGTATACATGATTTCTTTTGACTATTGCAAACTGCAAACCATTCCAGTGTTTTAGCCACATTTCGCATAACCCGTTTTTTCACCATAAAATCTAGCCTTTTAGAACCCCACTCCCTTTCCTAACACTATATCAATGCATAGTCTCAACTTCATCAAAAGGAGGACAGATTCTTGTTTCACATATTTCATCATTTTCTATAGTTTTTCGCCCAATTGGTGTTTGTTCTTTATGAATTTACGTAAACTTTTATGTCGTAAACTCGCACACTTCTTGATTAATGAAGATTTAGAGTCTAAACCATTAGTGTATTTTGGTAATTATCTTAGTATTTCAATTTTTCCATTTTCATTTCTACCAAACATTACTTGAATCAAACTATATCGTAGCTTAATTATAACGCTGCTTGAATGCCATCCAAATCACAGGTCGTATTTCTAATTCCGGCCCACATAATCAAAGTCATTTTTGCAAGAGGTTAAATCTTATACGAAAATTGACAAATAAATTGCTTCCACCTTTGTTTCTTCACAACAATTTTTGAAACAAAACTTTAGTGTCCATCTCTTTACCGTTAACCTTATAACTTGAAAGGAACTCCCATGGCGAAAGGTGTGTACATTTGTAGCGACTAGAAACAAGTAAAAATACACAATGACTTAACTTAACAACTCTGGATTTTCAGCTCTTGATTGAAGTCAAGCCATTTTGCTTCATGAAAACATGACAAAATGGAGATTTTCAGTATAATCTAAAGCAGATTAATGTCTTTGTTAAGCAAATTGAAATCTGTACATAGTTTATCGTATTATATTCTTTGCATTTCATAGGTTAAAAGTAGCACAAGGTTTGCTTAATTTGAGTGTTTAATGTTGTTTGTATCACCTTTATTTAACTTAGGCTGTGTTAGGTGTGTTAATTTTTGACTTCTCGCGTATTTATTCAGAAAAAAGTTGATAGAAATTGCAGACATTATCAAGTTTTTCTCTTTGAGCTACTGCTGTCGAGACACTGGTATAGTTAAGCAAAATAAATGCCTCGTTGTCAGATTTAATAATAATCAATGTAACCTCGTCATCAGAGGAAACCATAGCAGTTTATGCAAACATGCATCTCCCAACGATTGTGAGAGTCCCATGTCTTAATGACCGTTGAAACATGGAACTCTCACAATTAGGACAGAGTTGGGAGATCTTTAGGATTTTGATACTGGATTTGCGAATAAAATTCCCAAAAACAAATATATCATCAGCGGATTGTCTATCTAAATTTAATTTCTGAAGACATGCCTTATTACGCGAAATTATGGGTTTGACTCAATTAAGGAATGCCATTTCACAAATCTCTTTTAAAAACACACCTTAAATTTTGCATCCCTTTCTTTACTCGTGCCTTAAATTTGGCAATCCAAAATTTACGATTTATTTTTTTTGTCTTACGTTGTTGACTTGCGCAGCACGTGCCTGATAATTTGAGGCAAAGGTTATGTAATATATTTTTTGAAAAATATCTTGAAAATGGCTTTGAAAAAAGCAAACATTCTACAAAAGGATTACGTTCCTACCTGCCAAAAAGTTCCGTTGTTTATGAAGTGATGTACCACTCTGGCTACGTAGGATGCACAGCTCGAAGATTGGGGGATAGGATAAAACAACATGTTCCTTCCAACATAAGAAGCAAAACTGCCTCCTCGATCTTGTAGGTCCACAAACACGATTCTGCCATCGGTCAACATCTTTTAGATAACCCAGATTGTGCTAAACTCTATAATGACGACATGTTTTGGATAATTGGCAAAGCCCGGTGGTCTTTCCCTCTAGCAGTTTTGGAATCGATCTACATATAAACGAAAAAGCCGCCATTGAGTAGACAGAAGGAGTTCGTTTTCTCTCTTGGACTCAATTGGTAATTTTTCCTTAGACACGCGGCACTGTTTGGTCAACTATACCGGTCTTGTGCTTGCGTTTTTCTGATTGACCTATTTCAATCCACAACTGGGTATACATTTTTCATCGTGTTCTTTCGTACCCTTTTTCTGACGTTTAATGCTCGGAGGAGTGTCAGACGAAAAAGCTTTTAGCCAATATGGTGTAAAATGTTTGTTTTTTGAAAGCCATTTTCAAGTCCTGTACCGCCAAAAATTCCTTAATTAATCTCCCCTAATTTTAATTAAGTCGCACCCGTAATCTCGCGTAATAACGTAAGAAACCGTATTTGCGAATTTTTATGGTCTTTTCGTAATCTTTGTGTTTACGAACTCAGAGGACTGTTTGTGAGACGTAGATCTTGCACGTGGGATGTAGATCTTGCACGCGCGACTTTTTTGACAATCTTAGATTGTATCAAAGACAAAGCAGGCTTTCAGAAATTGATGCTTGATGTCTCGTCTGAAAATTACTTGTCTTTTGTACAAAATAAGGGTTCTCTGCTGTATCAGGTATTTACTGATATGTTTAAAATAAAACATACTCTACAAGGAATTAAAGAAATCATGTCTGATTGACTTCTTTGTATAACACGTCACAAACTTCATTCGAATTATTTTTAAACGTCAACTATAACAAAACCCAGTGCTTTTAATCTTAGATAGTTCGATTCTCGCCACCATCACCTAAAATTAAACTACACAACGATCTAAAGCTCACGATCAAGAATCAAAATGGCATATGATTTGACAGCATTAATCATGATCCTTAAGGCCGGTTTCCACTTGATTCGTACCGGGCGACCATTCGCCGAGTAGTTCAACTACTGAGCGACTGGTCGCGTTCGCCAATTCGCCTTTGCCAAAGTCGCGCGAACCGGGCGCCTTAAGTGGAAACCGACCTTTACTAGAAATAATATTTAGGGTTCTTCATTAGCATCGCAATTTAGATTTTCATAAATCAAAATAAACTAATTTTATATTCAAATTATAAGCTAATATCAAAACGGCGTGGATGAGTTGCAATTCTATACACAAAGATTATCACTAGGAAATTTAAGAAGTAAATTTTACAAAAGGAAATTTTGGCAGGCATTCGTTCACATGATGTTGGAGAAATCGTTGCAAAGTTTGTTGATCTGCTCGTCAACAGTCACTCTAGGCCCGAGCTTCGTAATGCCTAACTCAATCAAATCATCTTTGCTCAAATTTGGTAGATGTATGCCTTTGATTTTGTGTTCTCTCAAGGCCGGTGCATATTCACCCATTCCGATTTCATGAAACCAGCGGCAAACGTCATCATTCGTCCACTCTTGGTATGGTTTTCTATTAGAAAAACAAGCAAGAAAAATATTAGAATGATGATAGATGGTGCAATGAAAATCATAGAAAAAAACAAATGCATGATTAATTTGGATACCACTGTATTCAAGAATGTAAATGAAAAATGAATAATTTGCAAAAAATACACATTACAGGTTGCCTTCCTGTTTCCAGATTTCCTTTATCCGACCAGTTACATCAGTGATTATTCAATAACATAAGATCTAAATTGCAAAGAAATAAAACATTGTACTATAGTATGTTTTTTACCCTCTACAGAAAAAGATGCATTGGAATACTCGGTAATACATCCATCAAGTCAACACTATTCAGGTAACAGAGTTACTGTCCCTTGCATAAAGGTTTACGCCATTCGGAGGAGCCCCTTAACAAGAAGTATTCACCATCAAAAGAAGTCTGTTAATGGGAAGTATATAATAGGGAGATGTGTCTGCTAATGCGTGCAGTCCGTTATTAAGAGTTGTCAGTTATAAGGAGATGTCAGTTATTGGAAGACGTTCGATATTTCGTAGTGTCAGTTACTGGGAGATGTCCATTATCGGGAGATGTCCATTATTGAGAGGTGTCCGTTGTTGTAAGTTGTCCGTTACTATAAGTTGTCCGATACTATAAGCTGTCCGTTACTATTAGTTGTCCGTTATTTGGGGGGTGTTTGTTATTGGGAGGTGTCCGATACTATAGGTTGTCTGTAATAGGGAGATGTCAATTATTGGAAGGTGTCCGATATTTCATATTGGGAGATGTCCCTTACTGGGAGGCGCCATTATTGCGAGATGTCCAATATTGGGAGGTGTCCGTTATTTCGAGGTTTTTTATGCTCTGATGAAACTCCGTATGCAGGGACGAAATATCAGCCAATCTTAATTTACTCGTATTCGTTGTTGTTTGTTCTCGGCGCGTTGCGTTGTTCCTTTTTTCTACAAGCTTTTTATGCTTCACATGCATTGGCGTAAGAACAGTGAGTGATGAGATCAAACGGTGACTAAGCTAACGAAAGTGACAAAAATAACGGTTACAATATTTACTGTTATCGACTCTCCATATTCACTATCACTATAAAATATGGAGTCTGTAATATTACCTATTGACACGAGGGGTGTTGAATTTTTCGACATCCTTCCTGAACGCTTCCGTAAGGACCGCATTTTCCTCAAGCTTCTTTTCTAAACTTTTTTCCCATTCCTCGACAGTTTCCTAAAAATTGAATATACTCTAAATAAACCGTGAAAATGTAAAAAGCTAAGTAGGAAGGCCATGAAATCATTTAGTAAAAACCTTAAGAAAACAGTTAATTTTTCTGAACCTGTGGTTTCCTTGTCTTGCAGCACCTCCAGCAACGGGAGATAGGGGTGGAGTTTTTGTGGTCACGGCACCAAACACTTTGCATAAACACAGGCCACCAACTTGTGGTAACCAACTGGGTAGAACAATAGCCCACGCAAACACATAATTTTTTCTCAATAGATTTCTAACCCGCCATTTTAATAATAATTCTGGTTTACCATTAGATCGTTATCCTATGGTTTACATCCTGTAAGCAGAGTAACATCTAATGTGTTGCAATATGCTTCTCCTATTTTGTGCAATATTCAAAATTTTCCAGAATACATTGTATTGTTCTTTTGATTGTGTTCTCATTTGAGACTTTTTCATGTTTTGAAGATCACTCAAATGGCAGTTGGACCGTCCGTTTTCGTCATATAACTTTTAACTACCCAAATGGCCCATTTGCACGCAGTTTTTATATGGTGCCTTGTGTCAGATACTGAATAATTATTTTAAGACCAATTGGAGATTGCCTTTGAAATTTTTAAAATAAGTCTACAAATAAAGATTACTATTAGAAATTTTGAAAAAAATAATAATGGTCCAGGCGTTAGACAGTTTCCAGTAAATTCCAAGTTGTGCCCGCAGAAGCAAAATCAGATGGAACAGAAGGCATATCATTTCTTCAACTTAATGAAATCACATTCACCAGGCTATCTTATCGATGTTATCCCTCCCGAGCATCAGCTTAACTACAATCTTAGGCAGCCTTTTAATTACGAAGTCTTGCTTCTAGAACCAATCGTTGGTGTTGTTGAGTTGAAAAGTGTTTTTCTTTAGTTTTTAGGAATATTTTAACATTATTCTGATTGGTTATCGTGGTTCAAACCTAATGATCAAACATTATGTCCTTTTTAGCTACGGCAGCTATGAAATATTTAAATGTAGGTTAGGTTGTTTTCAAGTGCTACAAAAAAGAAGTCAAAGCCCATTGAATATGAAACTTCAAATTTGCTTATGGATCTAACAACTCAGAAAAAGTATAAAAACTTACTATTTCACTCTCAAGTCGATCTAGACAACGAATGCTCAGAGTTTCTTCATCTAACTCGTCTCTAGATGTCTCAAGCACTCTCAAGAGAGACTGAAAAGAATAATTCGTATTAGGTTTAGATCAAAAGAAGCTTGAGGCCCTGAATGGGCGATTTGTTTATAAGAATCCCTCAGGCTTTCTTATTCATGCTATATATATAAAACGATTGGCAAAAAACTCCAGACTGCTGGCAGCCCAAGGGAGAGTTTCGATTGAAGAGCATCGGAGTACTTTTGGCACTCACAAATCACCGTAATTGTCTGTTTCGTAATTTATCTTAATCTAAGGCGAAAATATCGAGAGAGGGGTAAGGCTGGATAGCACACAGCAAAAAGTTTTGCACCTAATTTCACTGACATTTATAAGTTCCTCCTCTATTGTTGGAGGATGATCTAACGGGGCTCCGTAGCAACTTCCGTTGGTGAATGGCTCCGGCTCTCCTTTGTCTGATGCCAGGTATCGCCAAGGAACATTTCTGCCTTTCTATCTAACGGGAAAAAGTGTCTCTTGGTGTAATTAAAGGGAAGCATTTGATGCATCTTCCAAAATCCATACAGAGAAATATTTACTTACAAAAATGTAGATGGTTCTTTTAGAGTAAGGAAGATTAAAATGAATCGATGAACACACAAAATATCATCTTATTTACGCTGATAAAATTCGTAGTATTAGCTCTAAACAATCAATAAGGTCTAAAGTTTATAGAGAATGCAGTATAGTGTGAATACAACAAAAGAAACGCGATGGTTGGCACAATGCGTGGAAGAGGTTCCTGTTTACAGCCTCTACTTGCGCAGAGGAGGAGCAAAAATTGTCTTACAAGTCTCTTACAGGTTCTCTCAGGCTTTAGAAAAGAGAATCTCTCAGTGAGGCGTCAGTACATAGAGATAAGAATCTCTCAGTGAGGCGTCAGTACATAGAGAAGAGAATCTCTCAGTGAGGCGTCAGTAGATAGAGAAGAGAATCTCTCAGTGAGGCGTCAGTAGATAGAAAAGAGAATCTCTCAGCGAGGCGTCAGTACATAGAGAAGAGAATCTCTCAGTGAGGCGTCAGTACCTTCAACTGATTTAGATTACGTTCTACTAACCTCTGTTTGATCAGAAAGAATAAGCGTTTTCTGCAGCAGATCATTTGCAATTAATTTCAAAGCCTCGCGACGTTTGGTGTAGATATCGGATGATGTTGTACTAGCCTCAACTGAAGCTGATCTTGCCTCGTTTGAATCTTTAAAAGTCGCTTCTGATGGTAGGCCACGGCCTATTGAAGCCATGGAAGGTGTTCCAGTCGCTATTGAAGTTGCACCAGGCGCTGTTGAAGGTGCACCAGGCGCTGTTGAAGGTGCACCAGTCGCTGCTGAAGGTGTTTCCATCTTTCTTGAAGAAATCAGCTCTGAGCTAGTGCCAGTGCTTGCAGAAGTTTTATCACTTTCAGTGGAATGGGTACCAGTAACCGCTGAAGGCCTACCGGTTTCTCGGGAAGAACGACACTCGAAGAATGCTTCTCCAGAATCACGTCTGACAGGGATACTGTAAACTGGGATCCTTTCAGAAAACTCTGCACAAAGAATTTGAATAAGGCAAGCCAGGTCTGAGGTTTCCTAGCAAAAAAAATGGAACACAATTAAAACGTCAATTGCAGCAGCATCTCAATAAATTGCAATTATAGGGGAGCGGTTATAGAGCCCCCCCCCCTGAACTCCCTGAGCGTTCCCTGCACAAGACTTTGCAAAATATCTGATAAAAAGCATCTATATTCTCACGCATTATCTCAGTTCAAAATACAACTTACGATTTGCAAAAAAAACTGAACAATTACACAAGGGCGCACAAATTGATAGGTCATTTCGGGTAGATTTTGAATTTGATAAAGCAAAGACTAAATTCATAACACGACATAAAACGTCATTCATTCGAGGTGCACTTTTCTAGTTTATTTAAATAGCCAGGTTGTGGGTAAATATTTTGTACAAAACTGAGAGAAATAAATCAAAGAGAACAAACAAGAGGGAACTTTATATAAGCCAAATTATGTTTTGACCTACATAGAAAGTTTCTAGTCAAAACCAAACTAATGAGCCAAATATCATCAGAACTTCTTGGAACTGTTTATGCATAATTTTTTCAGTTGATGTTTTCAAAAATAAGGGACAAAATCTATTCAGTTGCCAGAGAAAACGCAGTCTATTTTTCACGTACATCAGAGAAAAGGGAGCGACTCTTAAAATTATGGACACGGTTAAGTTGGGGTTCATCAAACCTGCCAGGAGAACCCTCCAAATTCCAGTCACGGAAACTATAGACCATTGTAAAGTCGAGATTTCTTTGAATAAATCAAACTTCAACAAACCCTATTCCATTTTTCTAGGTACCGGCTTTTCACCACACCAGCACTGTCAATGTTTGTGCCAACGTTGATTGACATACTCGGAGTTGGTTTTACTTGGACGAGTGGTGGGTAAGATGGATGGGCTAACGAAAACCAAAATCGAATCGGAACATTATAAAATTGGCCTGAAAGCAAAAAATTACAGATGTTAAGTCCGCATATAAAGTAATTAAAATTTAATATATAAAAATGACCCCCAGGACAAAGTGCGGCCCTAGCAGGAAAAGGGGACAGCAAAAGTGCAGAAAAAATGTTTTAAGAACATTATATTTTCTAAATTTCAATTAGTTTATCTATGTCCAAATGGAAATTGCCACTGAACTACAAATAGAGTTCAAGTGTGATGACGGCACATCAATCTTTCTTTCGAATTTTTTAAATTGGACCCCATAACCTGAAAAAGCATTACAAATTGGCTGAGATATTGTCACATGAGCACCAAATCTTATCTATCAAACCTCTGTAATTTAGTTTTAACTTAATGGACATAACGAAAAAAACAGCATCAGATCAATGAATTTCGTCAATTTTAAGAACTCTATTTCAAAATTCCTAATTACCAAAATTCATCTGATAAAGACTTTCTAATGAAAGTCATCATCATCATCATCATCATTTTATTTAAGTCAGGGTTTTTCCCTTTTTCAAGGGGTTACTGACTTTCCTTCCATGACTTGGTGCAACTTCTCCATTTCACTCGGTCATTCGCATCCTCAAAGTTCACATCAACTTAACGGCACTGCTTTTCCATCATTCCTTTCCAACTCATCTTGGGTCATCCTCTTCCTCTACCGCCCTCAAACTCAAAATTCCATGCCTGTTTCACACACTCTTCATCACTCTTTCTCAAAACATGGCCCAACCATCTCAAACTTCCTTATCTAACAGCTTCTACAATTTAGCGTATATTATCTACAATGCGCTAATAAGCGATGTTGAACTCAATAGCGATGTGTTCTTTATTGAATGTCAACACAATACATGCAAATATTTCTAAGGAAGGTGACAATAGGCTAGTTTCACCACATTCTACCCCAGTAAGGAAAGTTACTCATGGATTTGAAAATCCATATCTCTCAGGTTTCTTTCTAAAACGAGTTGACCGACGAAGTTGCTCAAGAGGTTCCACCATTTCACACCTAACATTCTCTGTTATTGGAACTTCAACGGTATCTTCAATTAGAACCTTCAGTCCTAATCTTTCCATCAACTCGTTGTGTGTGGTATCCTTCCATCAAAAATCGTTGTGTTTATTCTATCAGCCAGTTTAACACCACACATCTTTCGAGCCATACATCTTTCTGCTCTTCTCAAAATATCTTCTTCATTTGATCTTACCACCCATGTTTCCGATCCATATGTCATGACAGGTCTCACGCATGTCCTGTAGATTCTTTCTTTGAGATTCCAAGTGTACCGTTTCTCACACAACATATAAGACATAGTGTTAAATACCTACTCATCTTGTCGCAGCCAGTTCACTCCCCCCACCACCATTTATACTATCACCAAAGTAACAAAAATTATTCACTTTCTCTAACTCACTCAGGAGGCCATCTGCTGCTGGGTCCTCTTCTTCATTTCCTTCACTGCTGCAAACTCTGCATTCAAATTGGCCAGACATCCTGTCAGTCACTCTCTTGACATTAGCACAACGTGCATGAATCCATTTCTGACAAGTCTTACGCAGAAGACAGTTACTCTTAGCTGTTTTGCCGCATACACCACAAGGATCAACTTTCGCCTCTACTGCTACCATTTTCTCAGCTCCATACTCCAGAATCTTTGTTTTGCAAAGATTCACCTTCAATCCTTTCCCTTCGAAAGCTGACTTCCAACGGTTAAATTGTGCTTCCAACTCTTTCATTGGGCGACATCAGAACGAGATCATCCGCACATAGCAGTTCATACAAGGCGCCTTTTCTTCTCTCTTCAGACAGCACATCCAAGACGATTGCAAACAAGAGCGGTGAAAGAACCGACCCCTGATGAACACCAACACCAACATCAAAATCCTCTGAGTACCCATCTCCAACCTTTCGTCTTCGCACCCTTGTACAAACTCATGACTGCTTGAACTAAGCTTTCTGGTACATTCCTCTTCTTCAATGCCCATTCAATGACTTTCCTTGGAACCCGATTAAACGCCTTTTCCAGATCAACAAAACACATGAATAACTTCTTTTTCTTCCCAATGTAGCTTTCCTGCATTCTCGTTACAATGTAGAAAGCATCCACTGTCCCTTTCCCAAGCATGAAACTGAACTGCATTCTATCGATGTTCACAATATTTCTCAATCTCTTTTCCAACAACCTTTCAACCACTTTCATACCATGCTCCAGCAACTTAACTCCTCGATAATTACTACATTCCATAAAACTACACTTCTTCTTGCAAATAGGAACTACTGTACTCGTCCTCCAGTCCTGCGGCATGCCTTCTTCTTTCAGGATTCCATTTCCTATGTCCAGAATTGCTTGCTTGCCATGATGAGAAGTCACTAAATGCTCTTTGACGAGTCCAGCGGGTCCACCAGCCTTACCATTTTTCCTACTTCCCAGTGCTTTTGATACATCAGCTATAACAAAAGGCTTCACAGGACCTTCAACCTTGTCAGCAGTCACAACACCATCCCACTGATTCTCCTCATTCATTTAGTTACTACATGCTATGTCACAAGAATCCTTCTTCATCATTCTCAATTTACGGAAAACCAAATTCCTGCTGTTCTTGATTCCATCTAGCTCCTTCTCTGCTTCTTTCTTTATTGTTCTAGCTACAACTTTCTTGGCTTCTTTCTTATCCTTGGTATAACATGACTTGTTTTCATCAGATGGTTGTTTTTTCCACTTTCTAAAACTCTCCTTCTTCTTTGTAATAGCACCCCGAACATCCTGATTCCACCACCACGCTTCACCATGCTGAGGCTTACCCCGACTGACTCCACACACCTCTTCAGCAGCTTTTTGGGCTGCATCTCTGTACTTACACCACACATCCTGTTCATCACTTTCGCCATCCATTCTTTTAGAAAATTTCTTCTTCACTTCATCATCACTTAATTTCCAGACTTGATTTCGCTTCCCAAAGGGTTGTCTTTGCCTTCTTTTCCTTCCCAGCTTGTTAACGTCCATCACAACCAGATTATGCTGTAATTTTTCTGGAATCACATTCACATTTCTAATTTTCTTACGCCAACCCTGTTGAACTAACATGGAATCTATTTCTGTATCGGCTCCAGCTGATCTGAAAAAGCCTTGTTTGTTTTCTTAAACCAAGTGTTAATCACAACAAGATCTGCTTCAGTACAATATTCTAACAACCTTCTGCCACCATCATTCCGTGTACCAATACCAAAACCACCATGTATTCCTTCAAAACCATCTGCACGAGGTCCCACATGGCCGTTCAAGTCACCAGCGACTATCAAGAACTCATTTGGTCCAACAAGTTCTGTCTCTTCAGCAATCTTTGCATAGAATGCGTCCTTTTCAATATCACTGCGACCAGTTAACGGAACATAAGCACTGACAGCATGAATCAACTGCTTCCCATGCATCAAGACAACCACTATGAGTCTCTTATCTATTCTTCTAACTTTCACCACTTCATCACACAAATCCTCTTGCAACAAGATCCCAACACCCGATGTCCCATCACCTCCTGACCATAAAAACTAATACCTACTCCCTTTTAGTCCAATGAACCTTGCACCCTCATCTTTCCATCGTTCCTCTTGTACACAACATACAGACACCCTTCTTTCACTAACTCCATCACTACCTCCATTCCTCTGCCAACCACTGTTCCTATGTTCCATGTTGCGAACCTCAGATCGATATGACAATCGGGCTTTTTACGGCCGACGTAATGAAGATCACGTCTTCCCACACCTATCTGAGGGGTTGTACCTTTCTTTTTGTCGTCGGCTGGTACCGCCCACGGCAATCTTCGGGCTGATTGCTGCCCATGTTTGTTTCTAGACATAATCATGAAATAATTTTGGAGCAGTATTTTTATAGCTGCATGCCCCTGCTGACGCTAACCACAGTTTCAAGCAGTGGGCCTAGCTTTACCCAAAGAGGTATAACCTACAAGGCAGCAGGTGTGGGTGTCAGTGGCTCAGAAGAGCTCCTTCGCCTTTGACAGCTCCTAAGCTGCAGGGGTCCCACATATCCTAGGTTGGTTAAGTCGCCAACCCATCGAATATGCGACAGGTAGTACTGGGCTACGTAGTACCAGTAGCAGGCATGCCTGACCTGACAAATAACCTGACCTGCCTGACCTATGGAATGTGCTTATTAAAATCAAAATGGAATGAAAAATATGCTGCGCATTGCCAGAAAAGTAGGTGCCAAGAGACTAAACAGCCTTACAATACAGTAACACTTTAGGATAGCTTAGCGAGAAAAATGAAGTTACAATATAGTGGGTGATCATCTCAAGCCAGTATATAAAGCCTACCTTTTTCAGAGACACTAGACTATCAAATCTGTAAACACTTTAATCACCTTTGGATAATTCACTTTAATTTATCCTTAAGTCAGCCCATGTAACCATACAGAGTGTATGACAAAGAAAACGTTGAGCAATGAAATAATTATACAGTAAAATATAAAATAATTATACAATTTTCATAAAGGCATAATATTAAAATAAAAAGATCATTCTCTATAAACAATTAAAAGTAAACAAAATTACAAAACGCCTCACCTTTATATTGAACTGGTATAGTTCCATCAAGACATATCATCTGTTTCTCATCCCCAATATTGGAAACTGTTATAAAGGAAAATACCAAAAATAGATGCAAAATTGAACTCCATAGAAGGAAAACCAATTAAATATTTACTAGGGTGAGTAAAATATTTGGCAGCACATACAGTTGACACCTTTTCCAGAAATTTTAAGGTTACAGGAAACGTTTTCAATGCAAGAGAACAAGATTCAGTTTATCTCTTTCTGAAAGTAAAACTATCTAGGGAAACCGATTATACTACAACGTGGTGATTCCAACCATATCAAAATAATTATCACAAAGATTGCAAAATAATATTTTTGTGCATAAATAGTTATTGTTAAAAGAGCATACTACCCTTACAAGATATTTTGTACAGTTGTGTTCGAGTTGACAAAATCTTACCTATTCAACAGGAAGTACAAATCCTAAGCTACCAGATTGTGCCTCAGATTTTTCAAATTCCTCCACCCCTTTAAAATATATCCTGTCAAAAATTGGCAAACAATTTTTTGTCTCTTCCACAGTTGTATTAAGCTAAAAACAACAGTTCTGTTTGGCTATAAAAAGGGAATTCATCACAAGCTCTCAAGTTTCAAAATATGCCGTTATAATGAAAACCCTAAACAAAATCTTGAATTATTAAAACATAGCATTCTAGGTACAATTTAATCAAATAGCAGATTGGGGTTTGTAGATAAATATTTTGCTTTTATAAGATTTCTCTTATAAAAGATGGAAAAGGAATTTTAGTGCTACTAGAAGGTACAAGCCACATTTTAATGATTGCCCCAGGCAACAAAAAAATATATTTTTGACTTTTCTTGTCAGGCACACAATTGACACTGTCAATCATTTTTTTCATATATTTCTTCAAATCATAGACAAAAGAGAAAAACTCAATTTTGAAAAGTGAACTTCAGAATTGAAATTAAAATACACAAACTTCCAATTTGCTAAAGTAAAAATACATGCACAGCTAAAGTGCTGAATTTCTTGTTAAAGAACACCCTTATACTCTTCTTATAAAAAATATGAGGATAATGATATCATATGAAAGTCTTTGAAGTAGAGCAGTAAAAAGACTCCATTTGTTGTTGAAGTCCCACTAACCGTAAGTATCCACAATGATTGAAAGACCTTTGAAACTTGCTAATACCTCAAGAATTTCTCTCTCGACCTCTGAGCAGTGTTCATAGCCACACTAAAATCAAATGGAATTTGTGAATAATATCATTTTATGGTGCTAAAATTGAATTTTCTATACTGACTTTATAACTAAAATTTAATGATTGAAAATTATAAGCTTAATTTGGATTGCTGTGACAAAAATGTCATCTATTGATAGGAAAAGACAAAAAGTAATTGGCTCTCTAAACTAATAACATTTGATAACCAAGGCGAATGTCCAAGTTTTCATAACCTAAGGGGCATTGCGGGTAGTGATTCTTAGGGGGCAGAGCTTGCAAATTCTCTGACAACAGCTTGCAAAATTGGTTGATCAGCAAGCGCATGGACAGTCTTTAAATGCAGAAAGAGATGGCAAACAATATATATATTGTTCTAAATCTTGCAGTAATTCTTGAGTGATTATGATTTATCCAGTGGTCGAATACGGATGCTGGCTTTTCTCTGACTGACTTACTAAAATCAGTTAAATCAATATTGCAAACAATAAATATATAACCACCTGTCAAATGTTCACATTACCACCAGTGCATTCTTTATGCCCCCCCCCCAGGAAATTCCTTGTTCATTCCTAAAATTTTGTCGACAACTGCCATCAAATCTAGACTAATTGAAGGGAGATTTGTGTTGGAGTTTGGTCTTGACGTCTCTTGCTAGTTACCATTTGTTAAGCTATTTGTATCTCCTGGCAAGCCTAAAGAAAATACAGATTCCTTCCACCATGGTGCCAGTCTGGATTTCATAGCAGTTTATGACAAGATCTTGGGAGTGCACAAGATACTACCTGGGAGTACAAGAAAGCATTTGTGGTAAGTGTGTACACTTGAATGTGCACCAAATTTTTCAGTGATTCTTGAATTTGTGCATACTTTCCTAGCACTTATCTTGTTTACATCAATTTAACAGCTCAGGGAAATTCAATGATTGAGAGTTGTGGGTTGAGCCCCGCCCCGCCCCCCACTTTTTCAAAGATGACAACTTTTTGGACATCTTTTTTTAATTATTTTTGAAAAAAAAGAGTATAAAAAAGAAAAAACTGAATTTTACCAATTTATCTAGGTATTATATTTTTTTCATTGTCTTTTCAGTAGATACCTTTTCTATCATTGGCATGTCTGCATTTTGGATGTGTAAACATGGCCTACTGAAAATAGTCGAGACAAAGTAGATGCACATTTCTGTTCAGGAAGGACAATTCTCTTAATCAATACAACAGCTCATTGTTATTCACATCAATGTGTATTTTGGACCAAAGGTCACCCTTCCTTTCTTACCTCAACGCCTGTCACTAACATTTTAACATGACTCCGCCCTCCCAAATTTTTCCTAAAAATCAATAATCAGTGTTTTTCTGAGAATTGTTGAATTGTCTGTTCTGAGCGGTATATCAATTTGTTAAATCTAAGTCTGGGAGATGCATTTTTAGCCATTCTAGAAGGCTGGATTTCAAAAATGTTTTCTATAACGCAGCTGGGGATCCCGCAAGGAGGAGCTCTTCACATTGTGAAATTGTTAACACACTGCAGAGCCTAAGCGAACTGGAACAACCGTTTTTTGCTCATTTTTTCCTCTCATAGTTAACAAAGATAACAATAATGACCTGTGAGAGTTGTTAGAATTGAAGATGCTTCCATGTGTAAAGTTTCAGAAAGTTAGTCCCTGCAAATCATCATGTATTTGGCAAGGCTTGCGCTAAGGTCTACCCCATGCTCTGGTCTGTAAATTCTGACTATACTGGCACGTCTTTGGACTTGAATTACGGAATGCGGATCATGAAAAATAGACTTTGACCCCACTTTGACGAAACTTTTTCTCTTTTTAACAGTCACAAAGTAAAGAAAGGAAAATAATTGAATTTGAAATGATGTTTCACGCAAAGAATATTCGCAAAAAGCAGCTTATAGGTAGAAAAATGTTGTGGATTATCAAATATTTGGGAATGCTTGCGCTCAGGCAGATGGCAAGCTCCAGTCCAGAAAATTCTCACTTCTCTCAGCAGCTTCTCTTGAGCTGCACTGAAGCTGCACTGGAACATCGCATGTTTCTCTTATTTGAGACAGGCAAAAGAGTGATGTGGAGGGACTTCAGTTTTTCAGATTTTTCGAATTTCATAATTTTTAGCGATCTGTTTACTTGGAAAAATAGCCAATTGGGGCCAAATGGCATGTTGGCGATGGAGTTCACTGCATGCTGCTCATGACAAGATAGAGAAGCCGTTTTTTGCGGAAATTGTTATGCATTGACTTTAACACTACAACGAGTTTATTACCGGTAGAAATGTTGCAAGTATTTTAGAATTTGGCTAGAGTTCTTTACGCTTGCATCGAAAGCCTAACATACAAAGATGCTATGCCACTGTTTTACCTCTATGTTCTTCTTTTGGTTCTGTTCTGTTACTGTTTAAAAAAAATTGAAATCAAACTCAGTAAAATTCAGCTCATTAGTCTTGGTATTTTTCATTTACAATACCTGTATTGTTTAATCATTAGTATTGCAATACCTGTGAAGGCCATTAATGGCAAATCACGCAATTACTTCCTGTTTTTGTCTGATTAAGTTATTGTTTAATCAGCCAATGAATTGCTTTGGAAGTGATGCACAAAATTTGTTGATGAAATGCACTGGGATTCTGTCTCATTCTCAATAAACTCTCTAAGTCAGTTTTCGTTTGGACCTTAGAGAACCATGTAGATTTAAAATCAGATCATTTTCACTGGCAACAAGAAATATTCACCTATTTTAAGGTTAGGTCTTTGTGATGGCCGAGAAAGGATATAGAGTTAGCAAATTTTCAGGTAAATTGGAGTAAAAAAGAACCTTGTATAGGGGGATGTATTGCTTTTTCTGGAAAATGCAACCTTTCTCATTCACGTAGCATTTATTTGATTTCACCAAAGAGACTGTTTTGCATTATTTTGACACATTTCACTGCATTATCTCGCTCGTCATCGGTAGTTGATGATTTACCAATTTACACATGGGCCTAATTGTACCCAAACGATTATCCAAGTTGTGTTGGGGAATTTCGAGGCTAAAAGAGTCAGAATTTATGACTTCATTTGCTGTATCCCCTAAACTCTCACTATTCTGACATCATTTTCTATAAAAAGTTTCGAAATCTTTAGAATCGAAAGACAGTAAAACGAGGTTTTGTCAAAACTATTCACTCATCATCCTGATAATATTTTGACATTGTATAATTTCTTACGTTAATACTGTGATTTTAAGTGTTTCGAAATCCTCAATAAATTTCAAATAATTTGATTCCTGGTTTAGCGTGATTTTGCTTATTTTTAAGGGAAATGTTTCACCGTAAAGTTCTAAGTTTGCAAAACTTCAAATTTTTTGGATGCAATTTTGATTAGGGTGTTGCAATACTTTTGTCCTGGTAGGTAGACTATCGAATTTCATTTAAACTTTAGTGTTTCTTGTCTTCATTGTAAACAAAATACAAATACAAAGAGCAGTCCCAACCCAACAACACCTATTTATACATTACTATAGCATTATATACATAAATTCATTCATATTTTGAGTCAATACAAAGAGACCCGAGGTGCGAGCACAAGAAGTCTAGAGTCGCTGGGAGCATATCGAAGTTTTCAAGCCTGGCAGGCCTAATAATAGTCAGTAAGAAATCTGCAAACTTACATCACGAAGTGCAGATTTGAGTTGAGCTCCTGTTGAAATGACTGTGCCATCGACTGGCTTTTCCGCCAACCAGTTTCGGATAGCTTTCATTCTCTAGCAATCTCACAATGTTACCGTCTAGTTAAAATACTTCCACTTCCCTCGAACTTGTTTCAATGATATTTTGTTTTGTGATAATCCAAAGCGAGATCGAGACAAAATAGCCTCCTTTCTATGATAACTGATGATTACGTCACCTTATCGAATGATGATGGCAAGAGAGAGAAGCTGTTGGCAAGAGGGTCTTTTTATGTAATACCTCAGTATATTCCTGTCTATAGGCAGCCCTTGGGGCACTTTAGAGTATTCTGCAAATAGTCTGTGCAGTAACTACTGTAGTCTGTAGGTCATACATAGATTCAAGCGTACATGCCTTACAAAGGTAAAAACTGAAAAAGTCTACACTCCACATCTTCTTCAGGTGCCATTGTATCGAATGCCTTAGGCGTACCACAGTTGTGCTATCTTTATCTACCGTCTTTTCCGGTTGCTTGCAATCTCTTCCTAACATTCATACAAAATTTCTTTATTATTTAGCCTAACACTTTCAGCCATTGTCTTCTGCTATCTCTATTCTCTAACACGCCCGCCTCAATAATCTTCCCCTCCCCTAATGTTTGCAAGATGATTCACAAGACGATGCCACAAATATCGTCAGCCGGATTTTTCAACCACGATATTCGACCAGTGGCTTTTTCTCTAAGGATTTCAGGAACTAAAGCAGATGCGATGCTGCAACCAGGCAAATTTTTTGGTAGTATAGTTTGATTACTTGATAGCAAGCCACGCTCGAAAAGTCGTTTTTAGAATCCGCTCGTATTTTTCTTATACAGTTTTAATTTAATTTCAAGCTATATTGTCATAATATATTGTGCGACACGCAAGCTGGTATATTTACGGATCATTTTGGGTAGACTGTTCAATGCTCGAGTTATCCACTGTCTATTGTATCAGCGACCATGGCAAAGATTACGCACATGCCCCTTCCTTTGCCTTCCTAAACGGGCTATAGAATAATGATTGATTCCTTATCATGTGCACAAAAAACATAGTTTTCCCAAGGATCATCGGAAACTTTCTTTATAGCTTTAACGTATAAAGATGAGTTTAATAAGCAATATTCACAAATCTGAAAATTTCAGAGCTGAATTTCAGCTGGTCCCCAAGCAGGCACCACTGACCCATTGAAACATAAAAATACACCTTTTAGATAAGAACTTTAAAAAAGAGCCTTAGATCCTGCATTTTTGATGTGCATATCTATTAACAACACATTCCGACTCTTGTGGGTGCTTTTTGCTAGGACTTACTGTTCAGCTTAATTTCCATTAGATCATCACATTCGTGAAATCTTCATTTCCATTAATTTCGCTGCTACAATGGTATCAAAAAAAAGAAGAAAAAGAGACAAGAGCCCCAATACTGGAGATTTTATGGTTATCATCAATAGATAGCAACTATACATATCACACTTACTCAGAAAGATTTCAATCACAAAAGAATATGCAACAGAATAATTTATGCGGGAGGCTTATATTTATTGTTTTGTAAAACTTAGTAATAAAAACAATGTCAGGAATTGCAAATTAAAAATTACTTTAAACGTCACCAAATTACGAGCTGCTAATGCTAACAGATAGTAAATTCATGATAACATCACGATTTTGCCCAAGTATTGAATTTTATTGAGTCACTTGCTAAGGAAGGCTTTATTCATCAAACGATGAATAATATATCTTTCGAAATTCAGCTTTTTTCCTTCAAAACCGAATGGCATCAGGGATGGATTTTCAAATCAGGTTATGGTTAACTCCTTCAGCCCTGCAGTTTTTCTTGCTTTCTTTAACTGTGCCCGTAAGAAGAACTGCTTCCTTGACAAAGAGCGGACGTTCTGTTGGGGGAAAAGTGACTTATATGTAATGTAGAAACGAATTATATGTTCAATAAAATTTCACAAAAAAGGGTGAACAATAAATACAACTTTGAAATAAAAGATATTGCTAATTTTAAAAAATAGCTTTGAAGTAAACCATATTCTTCATTCATCAAAATTTGACAATTTTGAAGATAGCACGGAAAAGCATAAACAGAGCACTCTAAATTACTTTTTGTCTTACATTCCTCAAGTCATCGCAAGGGACAACTAAATGTAACTACACGAATAGCTAGAGCAGTTTTAACAGTTGCCTAATTATACAACATACTAAAAGCTTTTTCGTCTGACACTCCTCAGAGCATAAAACGTCAGAATAAGGGTCCGGAAGAACACGATGAAAAATATATACCCAGTTGTGGATCAAAATAGACCAATCAGAAAAACGCAAGCACAAGACCGGTATAGTTGACCAATCAGTGCCGCGAGCCTAAAGAAAAATTACCACTTGAGTCCAAGAGAGAAAACGAACTCCTTCTGTCTACACAATGTCAGACGAAAAAGCTTTTAGTATGTTGTATAATGTTTGCTTTTTTCAAAGCCATTTTCAAATTCTGTACCGCAAATAAACTGTTCACAATTTAGAACTGTCCTTTTCTATACTCTAAAAGCGTGTACAGCTCTCTCTATATGGCATCTAGCAATTTATGACAGACCCGTAAACAGTACCTTCTGTTGAAAACGCCTATGAATATCATCTAGAATCGTATAATTTTTTTATTTCATGTCATACCTTCAAAAATACTTCAAGATCAATAATTTCCCTTCGCAAAGCTTCACCAAGATAATAAATAGCATCCTCCACGGCGTTTTCTTCTGCAAATGTTTGCAAAATTCTGAAAACGAAAATGTTATTGATTACAAGTTTGAAGTTTGAACTTTTAAACAGGTTTGAAGTTAACAGGCTGTAAAATTCATGTCAAGAAATTAAAAATGCTTGTCATGACAGTTCCATCTTTATTTTAGTCCAGTTGAAGCTAGTCTTAAATTGCTTCCCCATCATCATCTTCAAAACAATGCAAGGAACAAATAAGTGTCCTAAAATGAACGTAGCTAAATCATTCACTATGTGTTTTCTTTACCACCGATTTATTACAAGAAAATAGGACAGCAATTTTACAGGATACCTCTTTCAGCTTTTTGGCTAATAAGGACATCACAAAGAGCAATAAAAGCTCTAATTCACTAATCAAGTAGCTCCGAGGAAGTCCTGTATGCAATAGTTTTTCAATAGAGTTCTTAAGTGTGACGTCATTAAAAATCTATTTTGAAATTTTCAAAATTGAACACATTACCTAAAATAAGACTATGAAAAACTCCATGTCAAAAAGCTGATGAAATAATGTAATTAAATAATATGAAGTTGGCTACCAGTTTTTTTTGTTCTTCAAGTAATGAATGAGATCAAATTATAGAGGAGTGAAAGGGACAGCCTGTGCTAATGCTGCCATATCTCAGCCAATTCGTAAAACGTTTACCTAATTCTGCATATCAATAGGTATTTTATAATGCTCTTTCAGATTATGGGATCAGATTCAAAACGTCTTGAAATATATATATGTAACGTCATTACTTGAGAGCCCGTATGTCGTCTGTTGTCCAATTATGTGCCTCGAATAGTTGCTTGTTCCTTTTGCTTATCTAATTAGCTGCAAGTATTCGTTGTGAATACTTGGCATTCTGCTACTGTCGTCTTTCATTCTTTGCAGAAACAAGGTAATCACTTTTTCAGCTGTTACTAAGCATTTAAAAACTAGCTTTTGAAGCTAGCCGTTACTTACTGATTATACAGAGGGGCAGTCGTCACAACGACCTCATCGATATTGAAATTTGAAGTATCATGCTCAACTTTTTGGACCAACTCTGTCAATTCTTTGTTCTTTCTTTCCAACAATTCCACGTTGTTTGAAGCAACATTCTTGTTTAGATAAGAAGAAAAAGCAATATAGAGAAAAATAAGAATGTATTCGCGAATTGTGTGGAGGTTTATAGATGATGATAGCAATAGGGATCGTGCTAGCAATAACTTATAGAACATAATGGCTAGCCTTTATTGCAATTCATTGGTTGAGAAAGACATATTGTATCTAACCGGGGATGAGAGAAGTTCATCTTGAATCATACAAGAAAGAAATTAGTTCGTAAAACCTCAGTCTTATAAAACTCGAGTCAGTCTTGCTGTGAGTAACCAACAAGGGCCAAAGCATGACTTTTATTTTCAATCGATATATTTCTTAATAAACAGTTTTAGGGCGACGTAGTAGTCCAACTTACATCTGCAATCACCAGCCTGCGATTACAAAATACCCTTCATTTCAATTATTTTAATAAAAGCCAGTAAGATCTAAAAATATTATAAGAATAGCAGAAAATACGATTGTCATCGAAGTTTGGGATCAACGTTTTTCGATAAATACGTCTTGTACATACCTCTTCTTGGTTCAGTTTATCAATTATTTTCGCTAGTTTTTGTTTCCGTTCTTGTAATTCATTATTTGTATTAGTCAGATCATCCAGCTCTCGCTACAAATAAAAAAACGATTATGAGCTTGTTCTTCTATAATTTTTTTCAATTTAGTGAAAGAATAGCATTCATCATTCAGTTAAAATATACCTGCCATTAAGAAAACCATGTCTTTTTTGACAATCATCATGTTTAATAGAGAGATAATTCTTCTCATTAGTTTAAAACGTGTTTTAAAGAGAAGACGAATATCAAGACAACAGCGCTCTGACTGAATGTTTTCACACAACTTTCTATTAGGAACTAGAATTCGTCACATAGTTTTATGGGATAGTAATGGGTTACTATGAGGACATTAACATGCCAGTAAATGGGGTAAAACTTTTTATCTTAAAACTTTCTCGATAGAATTTTGTCATCGACTGTCTTTTTAGAATGAATAAAAAGGCTGCAGCCTACTTCACGAAATTGATTAAGTAAGGCTGGAGTTCTAGTTCGGCCTAAAGGCTTTGTAAAAGTAGATTAGATCATGGACACACATGCTGTGCAAAAGGTATATAAGACATGTTGGCTTCTTAACATGAATTACGTGATGCAAAAATACATTTTAGAATTGTCTTTCTTTAGCATGAAATTATACTTCGCTTTCTCTTTTTACTGTATCATTATGTCAGTTTCATTGCTTAGAAACCTTTTGACTTTTGATGTATAAATCGTAAAGTAGAGTTCGATCAGCTTCTAGGTTTGCATTTTGAGCCCCCACTGTCCCTATCAGAAGCCATTTTGTAGTAATGATCAAATGATGCTAATGATGATTGACAAGACTAATGACGCTGAAAATTATGACCATGATGGTGAATTGTAACTACCTCTCCTAAAATTTATTGGAACGGCCGGCACCACAGTCTGTATTTTGGTTTAAGCGATATAACAAGCAGGGGCGGACACTTGAACAAATATTGGGGGGGCAAGCCTATTGTTTTAATAAGATGACGTCACATTTCCCATTGTTTTAGAACAAAAGACCATTGTCCTCTAAAGTATTGGGGGTGGGCGGTCGCTTGGGGGTGATAACAAGCACTCATTTCTTCCGATACCTGCAGAATAATGATGGTTGCAAAGCAAATGCAACGATATCTTATGACTCATCTGCCCAGCAACATCACGCAAACCGTAAAGTAAAAGATCTTGAAGCTAGAGTGGTGATTACCGGTGAAAGAATCTTTGTAAAATACCTAAAAGATTTAAATAGAGCCTAAAAAGATTTGAGATGGAGTACAAATCTGTCCAAATTGATGTGGTAAAAATCAGAATCTGTCCATTGAACTGTCTCTTCAAGAAGTTTGCGATAAAAACTTCCATAACGCTCAATTTCGATTTACTAAAACGGTATAAAGCACAGAAGGCAATTTCAGTGCCTACCTTGGCTTGTTCAAAAACTTCTTTTACACGCTTTGACAATTTATCTTCAACGGAGGATAGTACAGACATCTTTAGGACATTTGGATCAATAACACTGTCCTGCCTGCTAGGCCCACTTCTCTGCTGAAATGTCTGATTACCACCGTCACTGACTACTGGCGATTGGCTGGTGGTCGGGGCACCATGAAAGTAATTTGAACTTCTCGGCTGTTGCGGGGGCTGGTGCATTGAGGGGGGTTGGGAATTGTAGGTCTGGTAGCTTGAAGTTGGTAAAGAATCGCTGGCTGGGTACGGGGGCAAACCCGATGTCGATGTTGGGTACGGTGCTCCACTTTGGCTTGAATTTGAATAAGGCATGGCGCTGGTTGGTGGGTAGTACCCACCCGGCTGAGAACCATGAGGCGGCATTGATGGCATCCCGCTATGCTGTGAAGTTGGGTACGGGGTTGACTGCTGCATCCCAGGATAAGGAGGCTGTTGCCCTCTTGCATTTATCTGTGGTGGGGGTGGTCTGTTTGGTGGCATACTGCCTCGTGAATACAATGGTGGGTCATCTCCAAACGTAAGACATAGGATCTGAATCAGTTCGTATAGGTCAGAGCCAGGCTGTGCAAATAAAGTGCAACGAAAATAAACAATAGAAGATATAGGAGGCTTTGAAAACCAGAGTTAAATACCAGAATCAAAGAATTATTTGTTTGGTTTAATACTTTTGATCAAGGAATAAACAAATTGAATGATTATATTCTATGTAACATAAAAGGATACTTTTAAAAAGCAAATTAATAGAAATTTACATTTTCTTTCTCTTTGTAACAGGAAAGCTTCTCAATTTCAAAATATGATGACAATAATTCAAGTTTTATACATAAGCTAGCGAAAACTGACATTTTCAAATGCACGACGAATCCAAGATCATTAACACGACAGCAGTCTTCTATAATTGTGCAAACCCAGATTGTGCCAAAAACTAAAACTGCAACATGTCTTGGATTATTGGTAAAGCCCGATCGTTGTTCCATCTAGCAGCTTGGGGATCTATGTACATAAGCACGAAAAGACCGCTATTGTGTAGACAAAAGGAGTTTGTCTTCACCTTAGGTCTCCATTGGTAACATTCTTAAAAGGCAAGCGGCACTGATTGGGTAACCTCAATCGCGTTTCTGATTGGCCTTTCTGATTGGTGTATGTATTTCGAAGCGTAGTGTTTTGATGTATGTTCTGACGTAAGTATCCTTCTAACCGGTATAGTTGACCAATCAGTGACGGAACATATTCTGACGTTTTATACTCTGAAGAGTGTCAGACGAAAAGCTTAAGTATGTTCTAAAATGTTTGCTTTTTTCAAAGCCATTTGCAATCCGTTAACTATTTTCCGTCCCTGTTTTACGATTTCTTCCAACTTTTTTTAAATTACAAGCACAATATCTGAATTATCATTTACTAAGACAAGCAAATAGAAATAACATTAGAAGACTTACGCTCCGCCAGTCCGTTAAATATGGTAAATAAACCCTTCCTTGTTGGTCAACATGCCTTCCAGGTTTAATAACCATGCTGCTTGTGGGGTTAACAAACACAACCGGCGGTTTAAATGGATGTGCTTCTAGGATCCATAATTTTAATGGAATGTTGTACACATTTCCTATTCAAAACAGAAAGCAAATATGAAATATCAAGAATGTTTAAAGGTGTAAAATGAAATACCACTGCAGGCGTAACGAGAAGCAATATTTCTAAAATTAATTATCAAAGAATTACCACCGTAGTTTACAGCTAGGCTTTTGTGCATATGCATATTCACATTTTCAAAAATAGTTAAACAAGTTGAAATATAAGAGTCTGCTGAAACAACGCTGTCATGTTTCGAGCTGAAAGAGATTCTTGTCTTTTCAGACAATGCTTTGAGCTGAAAAAAAGATCCTTGCCTTTTCAAGCAAAGTGTTGCTAGTTTTGTTTATCATTAGCATCGACAAACCTCTCAGACAAGGGCAGAGATTTCGTGCTTAGGGAAATATCTAGACAGATAAAAGTTGAAACTGGTTTCGGGCAAATTTTTTGGCTTCAGAATTTTCGAGTATTTTAGGCTACAAAATGTTTATTCAGGCACTTTGTCAAACAGTGTCTTTATTTTTCAGGGATTCATACTGAAAATACATACTGAAAATAGGCCTATTTTGTGCCAACTTTTGTAGTCCTCTTGACTCTAAAACTGATACCTCTGAGAATTGGACAAGCTTCTGACAAATTTTCAGTACCTATTATGATGTTAAATCCAGTTCCTTAGCCTTCTCAGATATAAAAAAATCTTCAAATCATTTCTAGGTCCTAAAAATTTCGTTTGAAACAACATAATGACAAACAAAGCTTGTAACCAATTGTAAAATAAGAGTTTAAATAGCTGGGAGAAAAATCTCATTCTGGCTTTCTTACAAAAAATACAACAGAAAAACCCTTTGTATCAATTAAAAAAAAACAAGCAAGGTGAAACTGTATTTTGGTGGTTATTTTGGACAATACCAATAGTAAGGTTGATGCTATTCAAAAATATCTTGGGAAAATATTGAAAGTAAATAAAGTAGAACAGGAGATGGTGATTCTACTTGTAATATTGTAAAGTTTGGTTACATGGACTCACAGAATATGGAAAACAACAACACATCACAAATTAAATCAGATAGCTTCAAAGAGATATAAGCTAACCATGTAAAATTCAGTAGAATACCAGTCTGAAAAACTTCAGAGATGAAAATACAATTTACCTTTATATCTGACTGGAATTGTCCCATTGCAGCATATGAGATCACTTACTCTTACACTGCCATATTCTGAAAAGAAACTAAGGCTATCAACAACAATACAGATGGAGATACCAAATTCAGCCCAGTTTCATGCTTTAAACTGCACAACCATATATAAACAAACATGATTGAAACATAATGAACAAAAGTTTAGACAAATGAAACATAAAGCTGATAGAAAAAATGAATAAAAATACAAAAACAATGGAATAACTTGAAGGAAGCTCATCTCCTTAGCCATTGGCTGATGATATTGGTATGAACAAAGATATGTTGGACTGTTAAACAATTGCTTCTGATTTACTACAATCAACATTCATCAAAGACAAGTTGGAATTTTATCCAAGTAAAGAGGATTAGAGATTTTATATTCAAGTATTAACTCAAACAAAGTTTTATTTTACCAAGGCACAAAAGGGGCCAGGCTGCCTTTAGAAGAGTCCACCAAAACATCAGGGTTGTAAGTTGAAATTTCAAAAATTGACGGAAAGGGACAACAACACATGGAAATCTAAAGTTTTGGGCAGCAATGATCCCATAAAAGGAACCACAGTCAAATCAATGGAAGCTCTCTTGATTCTGAGTAATTATGTGATTAATGGTAAAACGTCTCTTCCAATAAAATATCAGATATTCATTCAATATATGTTAGTAATGCTAAATAAAATGGACCAGCTCAGTCAGAAGGAGAGTTTTCGCAGCCAACAACCTTTGTACCTGCAACCCTGGAAAAGTTTTGCTTAAATTTTGAGATCTTTGCCTTAGAAGGTGGTCAAATTTTCAAACCTTTAGTATACAAAATTTTAATTGACAAGTTGTGGTGTCAGTTTAATGTTACAATGTAAATGGAGCTAAATAAAACAGTATTACATATTTGGGCCAAACTTACAAGTTCAACTTTAATTTTTATGTCATAAATCATTATTTCAAGAAGATTCCTGAATTTCTCTTATATACAATGAAAGAAAAATTTAGACTTTGAAGAGACTGTTAAACACTCACCAAACCTCTCTACTTTGGGAGTTAAATCACTAAAAGATTTGAGTGCCCTTGAAATGTCCTCGATTGCAGCTTGTTTATAAGGGTACTGTAAATACATTAAAGCGCAATAAACAAATGGAAAAAGGCAAGAAAACGATGCGGAAAAAAGTACCTGAAAATAATTTTGATATGTTTACATTTGCTAAACAGGTTACAAAGTCTAAATGACACAAGTGATTTGAAGACCATGCATCTCATCATAGATGAGTTCTTCAATAGCATTCCAACCAGAAATTAAACTTGAAGTGTCAAAATATCTAAGCCAGAAAAAAATATAATTGCCAAACAGTAACAGTAGCTGAAAAAAAAGAAATTACTGTTAAACAACAAAAAAACAGCATGGGTTGAGCAACGTCTTTCAAAGATCTTTTTCAAGGGCTTTGAGTGGTCACAAGCTATAGTTTGCATCATCAAGGAAAGATTCATTGGGACATCAACATTTGGACATAAATTCATTCTTATAAACAATTTTGGCACACCCATTTACTGTGTAATTTTATCAAAAAAGGGTCTTAATTTCACAAAGAGCCTGTTTCTGTCTTTAGACTGGCACCAGAGAAAAAACCTTGGGAAATACCCAGCAAAACCTTTTTGCTCACTTTAAGGATGTCTTTACTAAATATTTTTCACTTTTCCATGCTTTAATATCCATACTGACATTGGCATTGAAAGAACGCTGAAAAGATTGCAGCGGTGGACAGGGGAACAGAGGTGGGCGCTTGGTCAAATACAGGGGAGGGGGACAAGCCTATTGTTTTGATCCATTTTGGGACTGCATTTGTCCAACAGGCCATTGCCCACATTGCACCCATTAATAAAAATTGCTTGGATATTGTAATGAATGATGCAACATAATAGTTGATTTCATTAACCTCAAAAATGTTAAATTTCATTTGTGTGCATTTTCTTGATAGAATTTCTGAGATTATAATCCCTCTTTAGAACACTGGTAAACTTATTGCTAAAATATCTTGTTTTCATCAAATTTCTTCTTAAATTTTGGATAAGTTTTCTGGTTTATCAGAACCATTTCAAACAGTGACACAGCACATTTAACAGTCTATCAGGTCTTCAAAAAATTGTAATGTCTACATTTTATGGATTACACACCATTGCATGCATTAACTTTTCAAATGTTTCTTCAATATCTGAAAATTACATCCAGTCGCGGAAATTCAGGCTTTCGTTTGGGGGGACCCAGGCCTACGATTTTCCGACAAGATAATATCATAAACCATGTCTAATTTTAAAGAAACTACACATTTTGATAAAAATAGTTGATTTTTTGACGCGATTTTCAGAAATCTTTGCTGACAACACCATAATAAAGTAGCAAAAACAATCCATTTATGATTTTGGATATCAAGATCAATATCCCAAGAGGTAGACAGATAAAACTTTTGACAAGTTGTATATCTATTTTATGCATTTGCATCTTGTTTTCGTCAGTGAGAAATACATTTGAAAATAAGTTTTATTGAGAAGAATCCAATGGAAATTTTGGCTAATCTTTACAGAATTGAAATTAAATATACAATTCACAAGCAGTTTTGATATTTATCATATATTGTTTGATTGATTATTTAGTACTGGCTAATATATTATCAGCTATGTTGTGTTCAAATTTTGGTTATAGAGGCCCCTGGGGTAAAAAAGGGAAAATGCAGATCACCTGGGAGCAAAGTGAGCAGAAAATTTGGCAATTATGCCCCTCAGATTAGCTTAAAATTCCTTTTCAGAATGATTTCTTGGAGTAATTTTGACATGGTAAAAGGTTGTCAATTATCCAATGAAAGCCCAAATTTTCTGATGACATTGCTGATAGGGGGGGGGGGGGGTCCATCAAACCCCCATAATTTCTGCCACTAATTACATCTTTAGCTTTATGAACCATTCTGTAATTAAAACCAAATAGCATGTACAGCTATGTCTATACTGCATTGAGAACTTTAAATAACAGACGGGTAAACAGTTTTTGTAAACCTTTATGTTCTCAATGGATTAAAATCTTTATGTTTTCAATGGAGTTATTAACTCTATGTAACATCAGATTCTCTAAAAGTTCTTGAGGGGGAGCTTCTTGTGGTAACAATAATATAGCAGACAATCATAAAGATATGAGGATGGTCCAGTGCCTAGAATCACAGACTACAGTTACATGGGTCTGTGGTTCCAGCCCCTGACATTACCAAGCCTTCACCCAGAGTGAGGGAAGTCATGGGCTCTCTGATATTTCAGGCATAGGTGTGGTCACATAGAGTGGAAGGACCAGGACACTGCCCAATAAGCATGGCTTTTCAGTTCTCTATAAACTACCTTCAGATGTTAGGTAGAAACAAATACAAATGCCACTGGCACTGGCAGAACTAGATAAAATATTTTCTCTGTCAGGATATAATATATTCCTTAAAAATGTGCCTGCCTTTGAATTCTTTAGCAAAGCTTTAGCAAATCATTCTTATTAAAATGTGCCAGCCAGAGAACAGACCTGAAGGATGAAATAAGTTTCCACTTAAAATATATATCCTTTCATCAAAGAGTTGCCAGGCAGGGTCACTGTCATTTCAGCATACGTGACAATTATCAAAATGAATCTTTAAATGTATCAAGTAAAAATAAATAATACATCTCCCATGACGTCATTGATTTCTTTAACTACCCAGCAGTCTAAAATTTAAAATTCTATGGCTTAGAATGAACCTTTCTTGTCAATGCACCTTCACAACTGTAGAATTTATTCAAATCGCTTGCTGCTTTACATGTTGTCATTCAGATATAATTTCTAAACTTCAAGGTATCTCTTCGATACTGCTTGATAGAGTCAAGACACCCACTCTTCGAGTGTGACCTAACATAACAGGAGTGCACAATTTATCTTGGAGAAACAAGCTTCATATAGATACAAGATCAACAAAGACTTAGAAAATAGCCTTTTTCTTGCAGCCATAAAAATTAAAGTATGTCTCTAACCTTCCTTTTGTCCATTTTATCTTTCAGCCAACTGTCCCAGCTCATCTTGGAAGTTTTTCCTTGATCGAAATTGGTTGATAAGGCCTAAATTACAATTCTCTTCTTCCGCCCTTACCAAACAAAATAACGCCGATTTTAAAAGAGCGAGATTAAATCAATTTTTTGACAATCTTCTTAACAGGCAAAATTCAGCTTCTTCGACACACTAGTTAAATCAGAACCCTACTCCAGTTTTCCGAACGTTGATCTCTGTACAAAAATAATATTATTTCGCTGAGTTGCAAAACCGTCCATCCCCTGCGCATGCCCAGTAGCGAGTGCTTCAGAGATCTTCAAAGTTCTTGAAATTCCCGGACAACTTTCTAGAAACCTGCGCTCGATGGGGGACTATTTAAGGTTTACAGCCTCAATGCCTCAAGATAAAATAAAAAATACAAGACTGCTAAAACAGCTTTCGAGTGAGTATCAACTTGAGCAACTTACTAAGTGTCGCTGTAAGATATAAAGGATTAACAAAGTGTCGCTGTAAGAGCTACTACAAAGGAACACAATACCAGTAAGGCGCTTATAGACCAATTCTCGATAAATAAACCGAAGTACACAGGGGCGGATCCAGAGCGAATTAAGGAGGGGCAGTTGGTAGTGGGGGCGCTGAAAATTTTTCAAAAATTGGTTACGAGAGTACGCTGTATACAACAATTCCAGATACCTTTTTAGAATAAACAACATAACTTTGAGGTAATCCTTGAAGCAAATTAACCTTTCGATCTCAGAAACTTTTCCCTTGATTCTCATTCTTCAAAAGGGGCGCTAAATTTCCAAAAAAGGGGCGCCAGACTTGCTTCAACTTGTTGAGGGAGGGGCAACTGCCCCTAGTTGCCCCCCTTAAATCCGCCACTGGAAGTATATTCTTAGTTCTGGGGTTTTCAAATCTGGCATGGCGGACCATCATGATATGTGCAATTCGTTAAATGAGCGCGTGAAGGATTAGGTCTGAAAAAATCAAGAATTATTGAGAAACATGAATTTTTAGAAATATTAGGGTAAAGCAAAATTCTTTAAATGAACTGAGAAACATGAATAGGAAGCTCGTGCTTTCTCCATTCTCTGAATCACCAAATTTAATGGTCGATAATTTTCACGATATTTTTGACGGTATATTAAGTTTATATGCACCGATTGGGATAAAAAGATAAGAAATCAACCTGCACCGTGGATTACACAAAAAATAAAAAGGCTTATGGAAGAGAGAGATAGGGCTGAGAAAATCCTTATTGAAATCCCAAGACTCCTCAAATATTACAAACTTTTGCGAAACAAGATGACAAACACTATAAAGTTCTCTATAAGATTGCATTTTCAATCTTTGATAAATTAAAACAAGAAAAATCCAAAAAATATGCGGAGAGCCATAAATAGGTGTCAGAAAAGGCCTCTAACACAACAGCAATCCAATTCAGCGATGGTAGTAAACAGTTTCTGATTAAAAAAGGTTGCAATGCTCTTAATTGCCAATTTGATAATGCTGATTCAGACTTGCAAGTAGAATTGAGTTTAAACCTGATAATGACCCTCTTTGATATCTTATCAGTCGTAAGAATCTTCCAATTCAAACATGTAAGTGAAACAACTGGCATTAAATATATCCAAAATCTAAAACCAGGAAAATCTGCTGGTCCTGGCAAAATACCAGCGGCAGTTTTGAGAAGACGCTCCTTATAAATTTTGTCGTGCAAGGTTTGGACGATCACAACACAACTGGTTCTGTAGAACAGTGAGAGCCATAACAACTTTTCATACAGCTTCTGTGAGGACCTCTCCGAAGACCCCCTTTTAACCATATTACAAGAACTAACTTACCCCCGGGAAGAGGACTTTTAGTTAGTTGGAGAGAGGGACTGTTGGAATCACGTTGAGGAGTTGTAAAGAGTATTTGGTTTTTATAAAGGTTTGCGTTGGAAAACTATGTCGTGTCTTGTGTGTTTATTACTTGAAACTAATTGATTTGCACTCGAACCGGGCCACACTTCTTCTAGTAAAGTTAAATTTTTGTTAAAAGCAAGTAATCAGCTTTGCCATCGCAGCCGCGTCCTGGCACTTTCTTTGCAGAATGCTAGTTTTGATTTATTTTCGCATGGTTCCATTACATTTGGACCCCCATAATAGGCCCCTTTGATTTGCGTGCTAAAATTGACTTCTAGAATAAATGCCCATATCTATCAATCTTTAAAAAAATAGGGCTTGATAGACGCATCAGTCATGACCAGCCAAAATCAGGTTTCTGCGGAGGAGATTATCATTTCAATCATTAAAGGTGACAGCAGCAAATAATGAAGGCACAAAATTGATTCAAATGCCAACTGACACAAGTATGTACCCTTTTTCAGCCCTAGGAACTGAAAATTTTTACCTCTTTACTTGCTGACCATGTTCCTATTCTGGCAATTTTTAACATTATGTTATCATTTCAATCGTGTTTTTTTAGCTTTGTTCCACTAAACTTAAAGAATGAATGTTAACAGTTCAAACCATGACCAGTAATTCTATTGGTTGTTTGACATTTGACAGCTATACGTAATCCAATCTACTAATAGACTACTATTTACCTTGAGTGGGTCAAGGATCTAAAATATTTCTGAGTTCAGTTTTCATAAATTCTTCTTTAAAAAAAGATATGCAACTTAAACTGCATATTTGGAAGTAGCATGTACGAATAAATAACTTTTAAGAACTAACTTAAATATTCTTATTTTAAAGTTAAAAATCCTCTCTCACTTACTTATCTTAGTTATTTGGTAATATCATTGCCATACAACTCGCTGTGCTGTTGTTTTTCAAGTAGGATTTAGAGAAAAGAAGAAATAAATATATATCTTAGTTTGGGGTCTTCTTTTTCATTTCAGTAACAAAATTTTTCATACATATGAAATTCTTTGAATTAACTTCATTTTCGGCGAAGACTTATTAATTTTGCTGTACTGAAGGCAGTATTCTAACTGCATCTCTTCATGGATCTTTTCAACCCACTAATATTTGTTTGGATGCTTCTGACTTTGGCACCGAATTTCAACTGGTTTGCTTCACCCTTGCTGACCAGTTCAACGAGATCCTAAAAGAAAAACGGAAAGCGATTGTTGAGATGTAAAGAAAACGGGTAGACACACTACGTGGGATATAGGTAGTGATTTTTAACACTCCCCTGATATAGATGTAGAAACGTCTTTTATCGTAACAAGAGTTTCAAGAAATTGTCTAACCTAATTTCATCAAAACAACCGAACTTCTAAAATGTCTATTACAAATTCAAAAAAATAGTTGTTAAGTTATTGCCTGTGAATGTAATGCAAACCTTCACTGACAAACATTTAAAAATTTGGTCAAGGCACCAGTGAATTGTTCACGGAAAAGAAAATATGACATTATCCCAAAGCATTTGCTGTCGGATTAATTAGCCATAACTTGATACGGTGACCATTTGAGAACTTTGTTGATGCTCGTCTTATGTAAGCTGTTCGTTTTCTCAACTTCAGCGCAAAACTCCATTTTCTCTGCCAGTCATTCTCTGCCGGTCATTTATCATACAAATTTGGTCAAGGCACCAGTGATTTGTTCACGGAAAAGAAAAGACTACCGTATCCCAAAGCACTTGCTGTCGGATTAACTAGCCTTAACTTTGATATGGTGACCATTTGAGAAATTTGTTGATGCTCGTCTAAGGTAAGCTGTTCGTTTTCTCAACTTCAGCGCAAAACTCCATTTTCTCTGCCAGTCATTCTCTGCCGGTCATTTATCATGCGAATTTGGTCAAGGCACCAGTGATTTCTTCACGGAAAAGAAAAGATAACATTATCCCAAAGCATTTGCTGTCGGATTAACTAGCCTTAACTTTAATATGGTGACCATTTGAGAAATTTGTTGATGCTCGTCTAAGGTAAGCTGTTCCTTTTCTCAACTTTAGCGCAAAACTCCATTTTCTCTGCCAGTCATTCTCTGCCGGTCATTTATCATGCGAATTTGGTCAAGGCACCAGTGATTTGTTCACGGAAAAGAAAATATGACATTATCCCAAAGCACTTGCTGTCGGATTAACTAGCCTTAACTTTGATATGGTGACTATTTGGGAAATTTGTTGATGCTCGTCTAAGGTAAGCTGTTCGTTTTCTCAACTTCAGCGCAAAACTCCATTTTCTCTGCCAGTCATTCTCTGCCGGTCATTTATCGTGCAAATTTGGTCAAGGCACCAGTGATTTGTTCACGGAAAAGAAAAGACTACATTATCCCAAAGCACTTGCTGTCGGATTAACTAGCCTTAACTTTGATATGGTGACTATTTGAGAAATTTGTTGATGCTCGTCTAAGGTAAGCTGTTCGTTTTCTCAACTTCAGCGCAAAACTCCATTTTCTCTGCCAGTCATTCTCTGCCGGTCATTTATCGTGCGAATTTGGTCAAGGCACCAGTGATTTGTTCACGGAAAAGAAAAGACTACATTATCCCAAAGCACTTGCTGTCGGATTAACTAGCCTTAACTTTGATATGGTGACTATTTGAGAAATTTGTTGATGCTCGTCTAAGGTAAGCTGTTCGTTTTCTCAACTTCAGCGCAAAACTCCATTTTCTCTGCCAGTCATTCTCTGCCGGTCATTTATCATACAAATTTGGTCAAGGCACCAGTGGCTTGTTCACGAAAAAGAAAAGACTACATTATCCCAAAGCACTTGCTGTCGGATTAACTAGCCTTAACTTTGATATGGTGACTATTTGGGAAATTTGTTGATGCTCGTCTAAGGTAAGCTGTTCGTTTTCTCAACTTCAGCGCAAAACTCCATTTTCTCTGCCAGTCATTCTCTGCCGGTCATTTATCATACAAATTTGGTCAAGGCACCAGTGGCTTGTTCACGAAAAAGAAAAGACTACATTATCCCAAAGCACTTGCTGTCGGATTAACTAGCCTTAACTTTGATATGGTGACCATTTGAGAAATTTGTTGATGCTCGTCTAAGGTAAGCTGTTCGTTTTCTCAACTTTAACGCAAAAATCCATTCTCTCTGCCAGTCATTCTCTTTATAATTCCATCAAGCTATCATTGCTATCAACAACTTTTTGAAAACAAGTGGCTGCCAAAATGTACTCGGTAGATAAAAATTTGCACCCCCCCTCACAAAAAAAATTTCCTGAAACCCGGCCTGTGTACACCTTACAAAAAATACGAAATAACAAAGAAACAAGTTTGGTTCTATTCCTGTTCCACTGGTTAAGTAGATATTTTCTTTTGAGAATTTCAACGTGGATTGAGGATAGCTAATTTTTTATTTGTTTAATTCTCTTTTCGATACAGGTGCCTTACATGATATCTTTTCAACATATTCAGTGTTAACAATTTTTTTGCGGTACAGAATTTGAAAATGGCTTTGATAAAAGCAAACATTTTACGACATACTAAAAGCTTTTTCGTCTGACACTCCTCCGAGCAAAAACCTCAGAATAAGGTTCCGAAAGAACACGATGGAAAATATATACCCAGTTGTGGATCGAAAAAGGCCAATCAGAAAAACGATTCGATCCACAACTGGGTATATATTTTCCATCGTGTTCTTTCGGAACCTTATTCTGACGTTTTTGCTCTGAGGAGTCTCAGACGAAAAAGCTTTTAGTATGTCGTAAAATGTTTGCTTTTTTCAAAGCCATTTTCATATTCAGTGTTGCTTTTCTTTTGCGAGGTATTGATATTTACTTCTCATCTATTTGAAGTTTACTTTCGAGCAAAAGAAACTTTTAATTGAATATCAAGTGCATTGATGTTTCTTTGTTATACAGTTTTAGGGTGTTGGCAATCTTTTTGCTGTTTGACCAAAACTTCTTCGGCTTCCCTTTATAATGGTCTCCAAAAAATTACTACTAATTTATATATATGTTATATAAATTTATATATTACTAAAAAATTGGGGATATGGGTTAAAGTAGCCTGCGCAGCAGAGCCAAATGGGCTATGGTTCCTCTGCTTGATTTCCAGCCCTTGTTAGAGACAAAAGTATTCACATTTTTGGAGTTCAGTAGATAATGATAAAAAATGGAATTCTAGAAGTCTTTTGGCTATTGTGAACAAACGGTTATTAATTTTAATAGACAGGTATACAAGCGGATATCCATAAAACTCTCTGTAGGTTGACAATTTACTAGATTCCCTCCTTGTTTACTGGTAATTATTTGTAGATTCTGAGTACCGTACTTTATGAAAATATTGGATCCTCGATAGCTAAAGAATCCAAATATATTTTGTTGCTCCCCGTGAGATAAATTTGAGGTTGTGACCAAAAAATCCACAAAAGTAATTCGCATTATGGATTTGCCTGAAAGCTGAGAATCTTTGGAAAGTCTAAACTGTTTCCAAATGACGTTATTTGTTCTCGAAATTCAGAACCTAGACTTCTGAAAAGCAAGCTTTGAACAGTCAGATACAATGATGCTCGAACAATTGTTAAAGGGGGTTTTCTCAATCAGCAGTCATCATTTTGCTCTGATATTGCTTGCTGTGCTGTTTCTGCATCCAATCTTACAAACAGAAATTTGAACTTTAAATCCATTTTTTAAATCTTTGTTTTACTGCATTAATGTCAACCACTTCGGTGCTTAAATCGTAAAGGCTATGAAATTTTTTACATTCATTTTACAATATGTATTTTCACTGCATTCTTGTTTTGAAAAACTTTTTCATTATCTTTTGCAAATAAACTTTTTATGAAACAAAATAGAACTATTCAGGTAAATCAGCCCTAAGTTTCCTTTAACTCTATTTCTTAAATGTTGGACTGTATTGGATAATATTATTGTATCGATATCACTAATGCAATTGACTAACCAATGACATTTATCCTAAGCATGGAAGCGTACCTTTTTGATTCTGTGAAGCTCCTTAGCAGCAGCGACGCTGCTCTCAGATGGAATGTTTGACCTCTTGTATGCTGCTTGCCCAACCTCGTGTAATTCATTCATATAACCATCAAAGTTCTGGTTCTTTTCCTTCTTCAATATGTGCTCAATTTGACTTCTAAATCTTGGCATCATGAGGTTGTGCTCGTCTGTTAAAAGGTTTCTTGCCTTCGAATTCCATTTCTCCATGCCTTTGGAAACGAAGATTAAGCATAGTAAACAATATATTTCAAGAATAAATAAGTTATTGTAAATGTCCAGAAACTCAATATAGCGTCGTAGTTTATCATAAACCCAAAGGAGATTAGAGTATATTGTCAACTGGCTAGAAGTATTTGCAACTCATATCTTACCATCTTTGGCTTTGTCATACCAATGGTAGAGATCCCCTCGTTCTTCGTGTGTCATGTTATGTTTCATTTCTGAAAATAAAATACCCAATCGTTTTACATAAGTCATTACCGTTCAGTATCGCATTTTGAGCTTGCGGCAATTTGCTGTTAACAGCAACCATCAACAGGGTTCAAACATGATTGAATCAAAACAAATTTAATTTTAGATTTTTCAAATTTGGACTACATAACCTGAAAAAGAATCAGTTTAATGCGTTTCAAAATGGCTTAGTTCTGACTACAGGAGCACAAGCTCTTTTCTTGACAATTAATTTGCTGCTAAAATCTGTGAACCAGAACAAAACAACATCATTCAATAAGCCCAGTCTGCATTCCTTGTAGTGCAGTCGCATCTTTCATTTACCATTTCTCGCACTATTTGCAACAAATTAAACTGATTTTGCAGTTTAAAGTTGTTTCCTGGTTTTCTACCAGACTCCATAAATTCTAAAAACATGCTTCTGATGGCGTAACATTTCAGTACCATTTTTAAATTTTTTCACTAAAAGATGACCATGGCTGTATGAATGCTTACCCGTGGACCTGATCTCATATCCAAGGCCATCGACACCCTGTTGCATAGTCCTCTTCGTTGTTTGGTAACCCTCACGAACATTGACCATCGAATCATGCAGTGATCTTAGTCCATCGGCAATCATGCTGTACTTGTCAATCACTTTGCTGATCACCACACATGGTTTAGTGTGGTGTTTGTGCCAATCTAGGGTGAAAATTACGCAAACATCTAAACGAAATCATTTAAACTCCACTTCTAAAGGTACATTCGTATAATCATATAAATACTGTACATCAGGGCTGTGTCATTAGAGTAAATCATCTGTTAAAAGTTACTGTTAGAGCTTTCATTGTTGCCAATTTGACTGCTGGTTGCATTTGAGTTCAATCGGTTGGAGCCTGGGTTCGAAACAGTGAGCTTCATTACTGGTACCAACAGCTCTAAACACTAGGCCACTTGATCTTCAACTTCTAATATTGAATTTACAACGTGCAAATAGTATGAACCTTAAAGGCTAACAAATAAAAACTCCGAAACATTATTTGAATACATTATAAATCAAGTTTTTAGGAACAGCTTCTGATGTTGAAACCTCCCCCTCCCAAATCTATGGCAATGATTACCTTCGTCTAGGGTTCTTTTCTCGGCAGGAATGTTTGAGTCCACATAAGGTGTGTGATCAAAGTTCCTATTGTCAAAATCTTGAACCAAAACCCAAGGTGCGCCATTCTTAAAGGCGTTCACTGTGGATGTACTTCGGGTCACAACTACTGGCAAGGGCTCCTCTGCAAGTCGTCTGTAATACATTTCCTCGGCAGTAGGGACATAGTCCCTCTTTCGGCGATTCCTTGTCTCTTTTGCCACATCTTTCTGAATGTCTCCTTCTTTCTTGTCAAGATTGCTCCTGTCCTTATCAAATTCCCTAATTATTCCGTCAACCTTTGGAACTTCATCTAACATTTTCTTGGTTCCTTTATACTTTGTTTCTACTGTATTAACTGCCAGAAGATCCCAGAACTTAAGATTGATGCATATGTCTCCAGTATAATCTGCCCTCAAACCAAGGATTACAAATTTGCATGTGATACCAACACAAGCATTGAAATTCCTTGTTAACTTGCCTCTCAATTCTAACAAGTCCACTTTGAATAAGTTATCTCCCGCCCAGTCCAAGAATCGTTTTGAAATTTCTAATCCCACTTTTACAGCACCTTTTACAAACTTAAGGACTGTATTTGCAAAGTAAACCAATTTTTTAGCCATAGAGACAAAGCCTTTTCCTACGTTTATGAGACCCTTTCCAATTTCTGCAAAACCAATCATTATCTGCAAAAATAGAAAAGACATCCATATCAGTGAAGTAAAGCCTTATTGATTCAAAATTGATTCCGTAATAGATTCAAAATAATGCAAATTTAAAATTGAAAAAAAGTAAATCCAGTTTACAAGGAGCTCATCTTCAAACATAACTTTGTTATTTCATGGCTATGTGTCCCCGATCATCAAAAGGGTACCAAAGAACTTCAAGCAAGCAGAAGATGTTCTATGAAAATTTACGACACCACAAATTCAAGTGCTGGCCCGAATGAAAACGGCAACTGAGAAACCGTAAAAGCCGTAAAGTTAGACAAATAAACAGGCAGCCAAGGCACCAAAATACTCGCATCAGAAACATAGTAAAGTGAATGAGAGGGTGTGCTTGCATCTGGACATTTAGGAACTGGCAAAAGCGCACCAAGATGTGGTCATGTGGTCAGTTCTAAGGATGTCGTAATGAAAAAAATATAGAACTGGCTGATTTTGTTATGCATCTCAACATTGATTAAAGTGAATAGCCAAATTTTGAGCAGGCATTGTCTAGGGTGCCAGCTGCAAAGTCGTGTGAACTTAAAGGCAAATCAGTCCACGCATTCTTTTCAAAACTTTCAAGCGGAGTGGTATCGCTTTTGGCATACAAAACCTGTACCTTATTGTGCATTTCAATATTGGCATAAACAAACAGAGAAAGAGAAAATCAGCATTGATTTAAAGGTGGTGAACAATGATGCAAAAATTGTTATTATCTTATATGAACCAGGCGAAGAAAATGAACAGCCAAGATCATGCTATCCGCTCTTTATTTTTTCGATTCGGGATTCGGGGTAGCAATAGAGAAGTCAATGCACCTTTGTGAAATCAATGAATGGCAATCGGTTTTATCGATTGAAGATAAGGTTCCTAAAACAGTACAAACGATTGTAGACGCGATTGTGGTCTCGATCCCGATCCAGGTCTGTGACGTATAGGTGGCCTCATAAAGTAATGAATTTCATTTTACGAATGGAATAAATCAAACATAATGAATGCCTAAAATAGTAAAATATTGCAGTAAAATGACTGTAAAAAATATTCTAAAATGGGTTTTCATCTAATCTAAAGGGAATGGCTGCATAAAATTTTCTATGATTACCTTAATACCAGTCTGTTCGGCCCAGGCAACAAACTTTTTACCCAACTTTTTTATTTCACAACCAGCAATGCAAATAACGTTTGGAGCCCTCCACCTGCATTTGTTCCAAAATGGGCAGCCAACCCACCACCACCAGATTTTGAAGCATCGCGGCTTCCAGTCAAGGAATGGTATGCAGACTATGAAAGTATAACACATTTCATAAAGGGAAGAAAAGAATAACGAAGATCTATTTACGGACCATGAAAACGATCTTGCAATTAGCAGGTACAAAAAGTCTAGGTAGAACAAAGTAAATTAAGATAAAAAATAACATCACCCTCCCAAAAAATGTTTTTGATGCAGATTTGGCTAGGTTAGATTGATTCTTGTCAAACGGAGATCATATCATAACAAACCATATTTTGGATAAGGTTTGGGTAATAGTTTTTAAGATTTGATGCTTGTCTTAAAAGCTCATTTTGCAAATTGAATGGAAGGAAGCAGGTAACACAAATCACACAAAGTTATATGCTTGTTAAATAGACTTTTGTAGAAGACTTTTATGCAACATAAGAAATCATAGACTATCGAATAAAAAATTATGGTCCACGCACTGTCAAGAAAATGAACAGTCATAAAATTTATGCAAAAAGTTACACCAATAACACGATAAGAGAATACAGAACATAATCAAAAGCGACAAACGGAATGTCCAAAAGCAATAGGAAAATAGCGTTCAAATAAGAAAAAACAATTAGGAGAAAATGGTTTTGAAAAAGCAAACATTTTACGACATACTAAAAGCTTTTTCGTCTGACATTCCTCAGAGCATTAAACGTCAGAAAAAGGGTCCGAAAGAACACGATGAAAAATATATACCCAGTTGTGGATCGAAATAGGCCAATCAGAAAAACGCAAACACAAGACCGGTATAGTTGACCAATCAGTGCCGCGAGCCTAAAGAAAAATTACCAATGGAGTCCAAGAGAGAAAACGAACTCCTTCTGTCTACACAATGGCGGCTTTTTCGTTTTTATGTAGCTCGACTCCAAAACTGCTAGATGAGGAGAAAGAGATGAAAATAAGGAATTTCTATTGAAGATAATAATGATTGAAAACAAAACAGGCTATATAGAACGAATATAAATGAAATAAATTTAACAATATCTAAAGAAAGAAAAGAATGAGGAAAGAACAAGTAGAAGTTAGGGTCGTGACTGAACAAAAAAGTTTTTAAGAATGCAATGTTTTACAAAGCAACGTAAGAGAAGATTGAAAAGACATATATATTTAGCTAAAACTAAGCAACGGTTAAAAGGAAAGGATGAATTGCGACGTGAAAGAGAATGTAGATTAAAGTAATGGGGGAATAAGCTTGGGTCGAAAAATTAAAAAAACACCAGTAGAAGCGAAAGAAAAGAAAGAAAAAGTAGAGGTCAAGTTTTCTATAATCGTATAACTGGGTGTTGAGTTTCATACTTTCTTGACAATGCCATGCAACAGAATAAATCTTAAAGTAAAAGAATATTGAATTTACCTGTTCCACATCGTTTCTTGCAACTATATTGCAACTTCTTCTTTGCTTTTTCAATTTCTGCAGCCCTTCTTCTTAGTCTGCTCTGATAATTGTTAATAGATCTTTTCCATCCATCCATTTTTCTTTCAGCATTTACAACTCTCTGTCCAGCCACGGCAACTCTCTTTTGAGCCTCTTCCAATTTTTTTCTTGCAATTTCCTTAGCTTTGTTAAGATAGCCAATGGCTGCATCAGCAATCTGCCGTATGTGGAAATCGATTGACACGCTTGCTCTAAACTGAAAGGGACACTGGACATTAACTTCGAATTCCCTAAGTTGCTGTACACTTGGTACTAGATCAAAACAATCAGCGGCATGGCTAGCGGGGTGGGGGTGTAGAGGGTGTAACCCCCCAATACTTCATGAGTTCGTCGGTAAATCTTCAGTTTGACTACAAAATCCTTAACTTGTCGGAACATTATCACTCAGTAGGTGAAATTGCACCTAAACTCTTCTCCATGTCTTCTCCACCCCCTTGTCTGAAAGGTCAAACGACGCCACTGAAAACAATATATGCACAATTATAGAATTATATTTCATCATCGATTCCGTCGCTGCGGAGGAGTATGAGAGAGAGTTCGGTAGGTCGTTTATGCCAATCGGTCGCACAATTTTGCAGCGCTTTTGGATCGCTTTCAACTTTACGTTTCTCGTGCCGAATTACTGATAGTGTACAAGATTTTCACGGTCGCCATCACAATTCTTACATTTTTTAAGATTTCCTGAATTTTGGTCATGGATACTCAAAAAGATAATTTTCCCTCTACTTATGATTCGGCCTTACCTGAAACGGAAATTAGCCCCCGGGTTACTGACAGTTTCCCAGTTTCAGCTAGTGGCTAAAATTGAGCCATGGTGGATACATAGGCGCAGACTAATAATTCACTATAAAACTTGGTCAAGGATAATGCTGCCAGTTCACGCAAAAGGAGAATATCTGTATCCGGCAGTGATGAGAATGAGCCCTTTTGCGTGCAGTTACGCCCTAGTGGCAAAAAGTTCCGAGAAGACTCCGCCACTATATCGGTTGCTCCAGCGGGTCAAACACTACCCTCATTTCTCGATCATTCCCTTTCCCATGCATCTCATGTGAAACTTGGGAGGCCTCTGGGCTATCGCAGTGTGGTCCTTTATATTCTTTAGAGGTGACTTCACTTGATCTTGACAACAATCCGGCCCTTCAAGATGATGTTGTCGGCCTAAATGGCGGACCCGTCATAGATCAGAAAGATCATCGAGTTTATCGCAAAGAAGATGATCCTATTGATTTAGGGCTCGAAGGGCAAGCTCTTACCGAAGCGGAAATTGCTCACAACTGCGAGGAACTAACATCTTCAGATGTGTTCCTCGAGAGCCTTTCCAATTCTACCAGTATCAACACACCAATAGGTCCTCCCATTTCAGCTAATTTGGCGACGCTCGTTAATACCCGGTTTAAAACTGAGCTAGAAACTAGTCAAAGAAAACAGATCAAGGCGAATTACCTTGCTCCCGAAAATTGTAATGACTTATTCTGGCCTCCAGTTAATGACCACCTATGAAACCCGTTTAGGCCAGATGAAAAGACTCTGATCGTGCCCTGTGGCTATGCAAGACACTATAATCACTGCCACAGGTGCAGCTGCCCCTTCTCTTCATGATTTGCTTTTAGCACGTATAAACAATCAAATTTTGGACAATAAAACACACTCTATACGCCATATAGATGTTGCTGCCCTGCTTGGGTCTGTTTGTCCAAGAGCTTTCATACCACCGAAACGAGCCTCTTCGTCCATATCTCAGTGCAGATTTTAACTTTGCCTGAAATCGTTCAACCAAACCCGATAAGTTTTTATTTGGAAACGGTTTATCAAAAATTATGCAGGAGGCAAAAACGATGAGTAGAATCGTTCAAAAGTTTTCTCCGACAGCACGAAATGGTCCAACTTTCCGAATCAAAAGTCGCAAGATTAACCTTACGGTCAGTCTCCTTTATCGCAGAGAGGGAGGATTTCATACCCTCCCAGAAAGATGCAAACACAGTTCCAAACAGCTCAGCAATCCAAGAGGAAATCCTGGGAAAATTGAAACAAATATATTCCACGGTAAATTGCTTTTTATTTTTTGTTAATATATGTTCGTGCCCTTATCTGCACGATATGGTAAAACACCTTTTGGCGGGTCAAATTAGATTTAATCTAGGCCATTGGAGAGATATAACATCTAATGAATATATCCTTCAGATCGTTAGAGGGAATCTGATATAATTTTACAATCAAACGAGAGTTACCTGTAAGCGAAGTTTGATTGAAATTCTATGATTCATCGACACGGAGTGAAGGAGGTGTACGCCCAGCTCGACTTTTCTCTTTGCACACCCGCATAAGTTCATTCGAACATTTTTTCATTTTGTCATTGATCCATTGCTGCTCTAAAGACTGGATTGCATGAACTACCGAGCTCTCTCTCGTACACATCCTTCACTCCGTGTCGATAAATCATAGAATTTCAATCAAACTTCGCTTACAGGTAAGTCTCGTTTGACTAGCAAATTTCAATGGAAACGACTGTTTACATGTCTGTCATAAAGTGCTCGATATGAGACCTGTGCTCGATGCTGTATAGGGAGAGCTGTGCACAATTTTTGTTTATAGACAGGGTAGTTTTAAATGAAAACTCTATGTTTTACGCTTAACGTGATCACAATTAATGATAGTTTACATTGCTAGAGTCTTAAATATATTATTTTCCATAGCTGATGTCACAAATTATGCCAGAATCCCAAAATATTTCAGTGGTCCCTTTCTTGTCGACAAATCTTAAAGCGGCTTTGTTTCATTATAGAGTTTCTACATTTGAATTCTTCAGAAGAGGGAATACATCAATAGAAAGTAGCACTGTCCTGGCCTTTACCAAAACAAAAACTAGCAAATCGAGCTGGAGTAGCGAATTGTGACACCATCATTACAATCTTCCATGCTAAAAGCATATTTCTAAGACTTTCCGGATCGATTTTGTCGTACTAATTTTTCAGCTTCGTATTATGTCAACCTGGTGTTTGGTTTCCTTGGGAAATAAACTATACATGTCATATTGACGAAACTACCGCGAAATAAAAAAAATATTTTGTCTCAATCTCAAATAAGAATGAGATCCGATCTGGATCATATCCAACCATTTACACAGTATCCGGTCCTAATTGGATCCGAGTTCCCGTTTACGCAAGTCCTATCCCTGCTCTTTTTGATCCGACCCGGGTCTGATCCGTTCTCTTGTCAACGCCGTCTTACGCATGTATCTGCCAAGCAATATAGTTATAAGCAAGATGTACATACCGAAAATTCAAGTGCATCGATCGCTCCATAAGCTGCTTCCACATGCAGCTTTGCCCGGATCATTCCCCACAAATCAGATTCTAATTTGAATTTGAAGTAAGTATCTGTCACATTGATATACACATATCTGGACATGCCAAGCAAGGACACGTATCCTTCGATTTGCACTGTAACTGAGTCGGGTGTCATATGGATGAGCGCTTTGGGTCCGTTCTTCCTATCCCTCTCACTCCTTCGCAGCGCGATAAGTCCTCCCGCCCAATTAATGGGAGAGAGAGCAACATCTACTAGAAGTTCCTCTGGCGGGTTTATGATAATTTCTGCAGCTACTGATAGGCCAAGAATATTGATTGTTCCCTTAAAGTATACGCCCTGGGGTATCTCCATATTTAGTGCCTCAATTGTTTTTCCTAAAAGAGAATGCAGAACAGGCCAATTTAGAAGCAACACACTTACCATAGGTGTATCGATAAAAGTGTGATTTTATGTGAATTAACCATTCTTACTCAACTATGGATCTTTAAAATTTGCCTGGAAAATATTAAATTTATTGCAATCAAGAATATTTCAATACTTTATTCGATGTTTTCTTCAACTGACAGTTGCGTAACGTTGAAAAAATATGGATGCAGTGAGGCACAAAACTATAGTATGAAGACAATAAACTTATTTGAATACAGCCTGTCGAATTTCAAGAAAGTTCCTGAGCTTTAATAGATACTTTCCTTTCTGTTGACATACTCTTCTGAAATGTGTACAGACCTAACTCTTAACTACAACATTTTTGGATAACCTTCCACAGGCACACAGCAGGGACACAGTAATATTTTCTCTCGTATGGTTTATCTATGGTTTATCCTGTCAAAAATATATTTTTTAAAAGAAATAGATCAGCCTTTTAATTGGCAAAGTTTGGGTCTTAGGAGAGTGGTCGATGACTGAACCAGAGTCAAATGTTTCAAGTGCAAATATATATCTAAAAAGGTGGCATTTTTTGTGTGACATCATGTGTTTAAAAAAGGTCATGTAATCCAAATTCGAGTATCACTTTCAATTTGCTATCGCTGGGCCTTCGAGAGTATAGTCAGCTCAGTGTTGCATTACATTAATGTTTTCAATCGAAAATGTCTAATGGGCAAGCAAAGTAAATTTTTCAACGTTCCAATCTAAAAGATACTTCAACACCACAGTCTTTGCATTCAGAAATAGGCAACAAGAGGAATCGAAAAAATGTTTATGGATCAGATGTACCAATACCAGAAACTAGATCTAATCCCAATTAGAATTTAAAGAAACAAGAGGAGATGCAAAAATTATCGCTGAAAAGAGAGGTTAGCAAAAAAGAGTGAGATGCCAAGCTTGTATTTATGTTGTCTTAGGGCATGGAGCCCAAGGACAGTTGGAAGCACTAAGGACTGGAATGTCTGACACTATTGGCTTTGAGAGTATCTCGAAGTTTCAATACACGTGTCTAATGACGGGAAGAATAGAAGCGCTGGGCAACACCGATTGCCATTGGAGGCTTATTGACAATAAACGGGAGAGAATGAGACTTGAATTTCCGATGCTAAACGCTAAAGTCAGTCTGTGTTGTGCATCCCTCTGCACTAGCTGTCAAGAATGTTTGTTAAACATGAACGCCATCTTTCGTGGGGCTGGGAAAAAGTTTTCAGAAAAGATTTTGATGTGTTTATCGAAAAAATACTGTGGCAGAAGGAATCCTACAACAATCGAGTAAATTTATTTGTATCTGAAGCCAGAAATTGTTCTGCAATAAAAGTAAAAATTTCATAAGCAATGACACACCTAACAACTTTTGTTAAATTTGAATGCGACGAAGATGGCCTAAAAATGAACCTGATGTCGATTTGTGAGTCTTGGCACAGCAATATGAAGATGTCTCGCAAAGAAAAAGATAAAAATCCCTAGAAGTATTGCAGACACAATGCATGTTTCTCTAGGATTATAACGTCTTGACAGAAGTTTTGTTTGCAAGCCTTGTTCTGCTGATTGAGAAAGGATAGCCTTATGAAAACCAGTTCAAAATAAAACCTTAAATTTATATTCCTTCTCTGCCTAGCCATAACCGCTGAAAAATGGATTGCCCTAAGGCTAACAGGAAGTCATGCCTTCAGTATGTTTCTTCAAACAGAGATGTTGAAGGAGACAAGTATGATAAACAAAGCAGACTGGCGTAGCTTAACCTCTAGATAATTTAATCTACAATAAATTGATTTTTTTGTTCTTTATGATGATGCCCTTTTCAAAGCTATTTTCCAAACTTTTCGCAGTTGTCCAAGCATTATAACTGTTTTCACATGTGATCTTAAGCTTTACACTGCAAACAAATTTGAATTTATCACTGCGCAAAAATGACTTAACACTGCAAAAATTGGCTATCCTTGCACGCTGGCATAAATAGTGCTCTGTACCTGCCATTGTCAACAATCTATTCGGTCGTTTCAAGATAAAAATAACTATATGATGACGAGGTTTTGATTAAATGTAGAGAAACTGCAGTTACCAATTCCACAGAATTTTATATTTGCATCAATATCCACTTAGAAAACCTGCAAAAACCTACCGTTCATGCTGTATGAAACCGTTAACCCTTCTGGAAATCCACTTTCTGCTACAAGCTTAGGAACATTAGGTGAACCAAGCTTGAACGCTTCATAAATCTGTTTCAATGTGAATTTGTTAATGGATCCGTATATGTAATTGTCGTCCGGTTGATTGAAATCCACTCCAAAGTATATGGAAACCTTAATTGCATGCTCATTTTCACCTTTTGCTTCTATTTCACCAATCCACACAGTTCCTCCAAATTCTAAACAAATGAAATTTGATCATTTAGAAATTTGGACTTTTAAAATTTGATCATAATTTGATAAAATCACGGGGTTGATTCTGATAGCGTCATCCATGACGTCATGACTTTACCACAAGCTGACAGGGAAACAGGATGATTAGCAAATTTGTTTCATTGTCCACTAATTCAATGTAGTATTTGTTAACAATTCTATAATATTTTTAGAAGATCAAGCTCGATAATCTAAGCCCGCAATCTTGAAGTAAAGAATTTGTTCTATCATTCATCATGCCAAATTGTATACTACACTTGATATGCATATCACAACGTGTTCTGTGCTTGCAGCAATAATACCATGAACAGATTGAAATCAACCACGTAGCTGTAGGTGTCGGCTAGGGGGGGGGGGAACTCGAGCAAGAAACATACCTCAGGGGGGGGGCAGGCTTAAAAACAAGAAAACAGATATATAACAAACATATATATTTGGACAAAATCAAGGTCATGGAATTATAAATATGCCAAATTTTCAAAATATCAATTGGAAAAACTGTAGCAAGAGGGGGCAAGCTGTTGTCAAATTTTTCATTTGGGGGGCACAGCCCCCGTGCCCCCCCCTGCACCTACGTGGCTGATTAAAATACGGTTAGAACTATTTGGATATAGGAGTTGCAACTTTACAATGAATAGAGCCTAACACTCTTACCAAATGTTGGGAGAGCTCCTCCAGCTCCAACCGATATTCCAATGGCAAGATTCAAATTAGAGAGGGCAAGGTATTTGAATTTAAATGGATTCAACCAGGTACCAACCATGGCGAATTGCAAGCTAAGTTTTCCAGTAAGGCTCACCTCAATAGCTCCTGCAAATAAACCAAACAGCTTGAAATAAACAAAGAGGCAACAAGGTTTTTTATTTTAATGTCTTTTTCTGGGTAGAATCAAAATTAGATCTAGAGAGAAATGCATCTCGCGTACAAACATACCAAATATTGACGAACCTACGAATTTAACTGTGCCAGATCCAAGATTTGCAGGTATTTTCCAACTTAAAGTGCATTCTAGTCTAACAGTGGACTCCCTTCCACTCAGCTCCAACTCAAGTTTGATCGACTCCAAAGCAAGTGAACCATCAGCATTGAGTGCAATCGTTCCTGTAAACATAGCACTAAACTTGAAGCCTGATCTTGAAATCGCTCCAGAAATTTCGATTGTCGCATCTTTTCCGACCTTTTCAGCAAGCCAAAGACACAATGCGTCTCCTTTGCACCCGTTTTCTTCTGGAATTTTGAAAATTCCCACAAATGTCAACCCTGAAGACGAAAAAACATTTGGATCTGATGTCTTTTATAGAATAACAGAACTTGTAGTGAAAAACCACGGGGATAACATTTTTCATCGTGCTTTGAGTATAATGCATGGCTTCAAAACGTTCTTTGAAATTAGAGAGGAGGGCTGAAGCCTTCCTCTGTGGTTGGTGATCTATTATTTGTATAAACATTTTGAAAGAACGAGAATGCATACAGAGTAGAGAGTAGCATAGATAGAAACATGGAAGCATTTGGCACGTTGATTTCTTGAAATCTACGAAAACCTCTTCTAACCTGCAACTCAATCTTGACAGATTTTCTGTCATATTCTCACAAAATATAAAACAAATATGTTCATGGAAATAAATGTATCATATATTGATAGAAAATATAAGATGGTAACCTTTTTCAATGTCTCTTGAACTGAGGTTTGGAATTGAAAATTTAATCACATCTTCCTCCTCTTCTTCTTCTCCTTCTTCTTCTCCTTCTCCTTCTCCTTCTTCTTCTCCTTCTTCTTCTCCTTCTTCTTCCTTCTCTTCAATCTCTGTTCTCTTTTCACCAACTCTCACCTCAGGCTGTGGATTTTTCACTCCAGCTCGATTATGATCTACTTTTTTAACACCAACTGTTCTATTCATGTCTCGCTTGATGTTTGCTCCTTTTCTTTTTGATAGTTTCTAAAAATAAAATAATTTAAGAATACCTTTTTACCATTTTCTGTACTAAGATTAGTTCAGAAAATCATTGGAAAATCTTTCTGCGTTTATCAAGTAAACCAAACAAAAATTTGCGTTTTGGCCTTCTAATCTGAGAACATTAACTGTTTGAATACAATCAGCCTGTATGGAACAGCTACCTGTACCAAACGGAATTCGCTTAGAAAAAGATTTATTTGACACCTTTCCAAAAATTTCTCATGTTTTCATGTAAACATATAGAATGGCTCCAAAGGTGTACGGGTATAAATAGAGGCGACGAAAGCGAGGCTGTTTCATAATTAACTTTTAGGCGATATATTTGTTTCTTTACGTTGCCTAGCTTCCTAATACATTCATATCATGGATGATTTGTTACTTAAACTGCTGTATATGCTTACACGTTTTCTGATACAAGTTAATTCACTATTTAAAATAATATTGCAGCTTTGTAGCATTTCTAAGGGAATACGAAATGCAAAAATGGAGCGTCTTACATTTCGCGCCTCTGTACTAGCTATTATAAATACGTACGCGAGTACATATTTTGGGAATGGCTAGGAAAGATTCTAAGTTTTCTCGTGTAAACGCCGTAAAACGTTTAACGGTTGCCCAAAAAGGCGTACCTTTCTACTATTACGCAAATGCGGTCTGTGGTTTCTTCTCCTTCTCTTCATCAACAGCTCATGTTCACTTGTATTTTGGTTGGCATGGGCCAGCTTTAGCGCATCACTTCGTTTCTTAGATTCTGCCTTGGGTTCTGATTTTTCAGCATCACCAACATTATTTGTTTCCTCCTCTGAAGATGACTCCACTTCTACGTTTGCATTTGATACTATTATAACTGCAGAAAAAAGTTCAAGACAGTGATTAGTTGATTAAAAAAACCCTTGAGCTAAGATTCGGTTTGGAAAAAAGCCCTTTTTTGAAAATAAAATACTAAAAATGGCTTTGAAAAAAGCAAATAGTTCGAGTCATACTAAAGCTTTTTGTCTGACACTCTTCAGAGTTTAAAAATATAGATCAAAACACTACGCTAGGAAACATACCCAGTTGTGGGTCGAAATAGGTCAATCAGTAACGCGAGCACATTAATGTTGAGGTTGACTAAAAAGTTTAGCATCACTCAAAATGTTTGTTTTTTTCAAAGCCGTTTTGAATTTTGTGCCACAAAAAGATTGTTTGAATAAAATATTGTCAATCACCCTCAAAGTTGCAAAGGCAAGTCTTCTGATAAATAAGCACATGCTCTCCTAGTGACCCTAGTACCCTGGGCCTTTACTCCAACGAATTGCCAAGTATTCAATGTGCCCCAGTGCCACAAATGCCCTAAATTTCTACAGTTGTCTAGCACCTAATGTCATAATATGTCTCTATTGCTACGAGAGCCACCAGTGGTTTCTTCATTTCTGCATTAACGTAAAAACATTTTTCAGGCGTAAAAACACCTCAACTCTGATTTAAACATTTTGGCATGGAAATTAATGCAACCTTTTCTAAACGCAATCGTGGAAAGCAGTATTTTTGTTGAAGTTTTTTCGCTAAAGTTGAAACTCACCTGCAGTCATTTCAGAAAACCATGCTGTCGAAAACAATTTCCTACCAAAAATTCGTTCCATAACTAAGTCAAGGCGCACTTTTTCAAGGACAACTCCAACAGCAACGGCTTTTGGAGGTTGGTCGGTGCCCTCCTTTGGTTTCCAAATAAGACCCTCAATGTAGCAGTTCTCCCAGCCCCAAAGAATTGGTTTTCCCGAGACTCTAAGAAGAATAATTCGTAAGAAGCTCTATGGACTAAGAAATTAAAATCAATACATGGAATCAATCGTTAAGAGTGAAAAATCTTTACGTTAAGAGTGAAAAATCTTTCATTAGAGACTTCAATGGTTAAGAATTGAAAAACATAATATCAACCTTAATAATTTGTTTTCATTTCCTGCTCCAAAATCTTTGGTAAGCTTGAAGTCCTTTACCCCAAAATTCGACATACTGCCTAATAAACCAATGAAATCTGTTAGCGAGTTTTTTCCAATTACATCCTTTAGTTGAGATAACCTGAAGCTATCAACAGTTGCTGTTAGCGAGTAGCTGTCACCTTGCTTCTCCAATGTTAAACCAACAGCTAAAGCACCAACTGCTATTGTTGTTAGGCCAGTAAACTGTAGATCTTCACCTTCTTCTTTCTTAATTGTGAGTTCAAGATCACTTACTTTGATCTTTCCACCCATAAAAACAAATGGTCCCTTCAAATTAACAGTAACAGTGAATGATTTTGCTGATTCAACTGTCAATTCTTTGATCTCAACTGGTCCAACTTTCTTTGGAAACAACTGTGCTGGCAGCGTAGCTTTCATACTGGGATTGAAACAGTTGAGGAATTTCTGCATATCACTCTTAAACTGATCTGGAAACGAAAAACTCAATCGGCCAGTTTTTATTCTAACAGTCATTGGTAGCTGCTCAGGCACATCTGCAGACACATCTTCACTGCAATCTTTCTGCATGTTCTCTGTGAGATATAATGGACTGCAAGTTAAATGCCTCTAGTAGATGTATTTAGAGATGTCCTTATAAAATATAAGTTTACTTATAGTGAAAGCCTCTGAAGGAAAACAAAATTGAAAGTCTATTTCTAGAATTTTGATTTTCTAGAAGCTAAAAACGTCAATAACACCATGCTTTTAAAAGTACAAAATCAGCTGAATCTATTGTCAATTGACTGAAATAAAGAATGTTATAAAATGAGTTTGCGAATGCAGTTGTGTTCCAGGTTGCAGTTACTTTATGTGGAAATGACTGCCCTTGCACTGCCAAAAATCAGTGGCATTTTCAATACATTTAGATTCAGATTTTATACATTCAGAGAAAGTTCACGATGATCTTTGAAATGGGAACGCTTCGAGTTCCTAATTCAAAAGAACTGAAACAGGGATATTCTGGTACATACGAAAAATGTTATTTAAACATGGAAAAGTGCAAGAATATGAAAAAGAAATACCTTTCAGAGGTATCATGATTCTGATGTTAACACCTTTAGGGATTTCGTTAGCTTCATAATCAGACAAAAATGGCTTCAACAGTTCCATGAGTTGCTTGCTTTCCACACGGACGATATCATCCTCTGCTATCATGATTATAAGGTTGCGATTTGTTCTGCCTAGCATTGCAAAATTGTTCATCATCGCCGCCTTTGCCATGAAGTTTTTCAAAGCTTGTTGAACATTGGTAGTGTCATCAAGATCAATCAAAATGGCTGGTTTTGCAGATTTCCCAACTTCTCTGGCAATAATTAAGTAGACATCGCCTTTCTTGAAAGCAGGAGAATTCGAAATGGTGGCTTTGCAAGCGATCTGAAATGATTCTGTCGTTCTCTGGTTTGTATCCTTGACCAATTCAATTTTTCCTGCACATTCCGGTTTTTCAAACTTCAAACCTGCCAGTTTACTTGTGTCAAAGCCATCGATCTCAAAATTAAGCTGTGCCATAGATGTTGCAAACATACCCATTATTTGAACCATAGGCAGGTTCTCTATCTCCCATTTGAAAGGCAATGATGTTTCGTCTTTCTGCTTGTCGATAACCATTTTCAAACTACGCGAGGAGTCACCAACCTCTCCTGTTTGGGAAGCAAGCAGTAAGCCATTTATTCTAGTAATAAAGGTCCTTTTAGGAATTTTCTACCTTCCTATTGCTAGTGTAGTTTGCTATCTTCTATAACTAGTGAAATTATGCAACTATGGAAAGTCATACTGTGAGAGAATTTTGTATTGATGCTTGAAAGAAAAAAGGCGATAACAGCGATGGTTCAAGAGTTCAGGGACTTCGGTTGTTGTGCAGCACTCATTTTTGACAAAGATATTTGAGTTATTTGGGAGACAAACGTGCGAGTATCTTCCTCTCAAGGCACTCTTTGTCGGTGGTTTATGTTGGATGAAGGGTTCATCATGACAGCTATACAGCAAATTTTTAGAAAATTTCTTGGAAAAGACTGCAAAGAAATATTCAACAATACCATATTAGAAACAGCATGTTGAAAAATCTAAGTATTATTAGAAGAGAAAAACCTATACAAAAATGGTTCTGTAATTTCCAACTATGCACATATGAAATGACAAAAATAAGAAATTGACTTGATGTTGTTTTTTTACCTGCAGCCTTAATTTTCCAGTTCTTAAGGCCGTCGAGGGGTTCACCAGCCTTAAAGCCAAGTGTAAGAGAGGGATCACCAAGAACAAAGTTTTCACCATTCAGAATTCGCCATGAATCTTTTCCCTTGGCCTCTAATGTGACCTCTTTGCTTCCTCTATCGATTTCTATCTTATCAACAAAGAATGAATCTGGGTTTATCAGCTCCTGAGTAGCCTGCAAAGTATTAATGCTTGGGAATATCTTGTCAAACACCATTTTCATAGAGGGTTTCTCGCAACTTTCAGACTGTTTCGTCTCAAGGACAATCTTGTCAGTCTTAAAGTGTCCTTCCAGACTGCATCTGCCTTCTATTGTGTAGGTTGTACTTCCACTTGGTTGCGATGTCAGTGTTTGCCATGAGGTTGGAAGATTGTCTCTTTTGGCTGAAGGAACAAACACCGAAAATTGTAACCCTTGGCCAGAAAAATTTGAAAAGTACTTGCCATTCAAAAAACTTCAACGCAGAGTCCATTATATACATCTACATTTCAAAGCCACATTCCACACTCATTATAACGTATGTTTATTCACAGTTCTATCTAAGCCAAGAGAGCTTTTGAAATAACTTTCATTTATCAAAACTTAAAGGCAATCGGTCTCGTTATGGATTGGTTAGCGAGAACAATAGCTGGAACAATAGCCTAAACACGATTCCAGCGCTCCGCCATATTTTTTACAATGCGATAAATTAAAGGGGGACTGGAAACAATAGAAATCCCTTTGTTCTTATAACCAATCAACGTCGTGACAGATTGCCTTTAATGTAACCATAACATTAAAGCGCGCGACGCAGCGACAAGCTACCTATTATTGGTACTCAACCTTCGTCATCTGAAGCACATATTTCCGGTTACCTCTGACTTTGAAAACTAGAATTTATCTTTAACAGTATGCAAAATACTTTTAAAACTTTTTACATTAAAGTTACTTCCACCCTTCTCATTGTACGTTTTAATTCGTAGTCCGTTTACACTGATCCATTAAAAATCGAACATTTTTTGAGCTTCTACTCCAACTGCTCCGAAATAAACTCTATTGGCAGCCCAATTTTGAAAAAGGGATATCCAAAAAGCCTCGCCAAATTGGGTCTCCTCTTCGTTATTTTGTGAAAACAGAGCAATTTGAACAAATTCTAAGATCTTCATTAGAAGGTCTAAAAGTTAGAAAAATAGATTGCGATGCAACTTACTTCCTAAAGTACGCTTCAGGCCTTGGTCCGGGAAACCTTCTGATAGCCAGAATGGAACCAGACCCAGCATATCATGGAATCCATCGGAGGGTATCAGATGATCTTTCTTGAAAAGATCAAACGCATCCAAAGGAACGAAGCTGATTGCAACAAGAATCAGTATGAAGTTCAGTGTCCCCATCGTCAAGCTGGTTGGGGAACAAAATTATGTTTTAATGTTTAAACAAGGTTTTTTGAGATTATATTCAATGATTAGAGCAAAACAAATCCAGCATGATGTACGAATAATATAATATGAAACCTAAGGAGCAGCTTAGAATAAATTGCAAATATCTGCCTAAAAGTCACATTAATTGGTACATTATTTTTCTAACCTGGGATAAAACAAAATGAAATGATATAGGAAACACTAAGTGAGCTACCCCAGACCCCAAATTCATTTCATTTATATTTCTAGGGCAGTGAAATTTATGAATATTTTTCTGTTCAGACCTTATATACTCTGGGGAAAAAGATGATTTTAGCTTGCAGTGTATGCTGTTATACTCTGGTCAGTTCATTTTTCATGTAATTTTTTAAATTAATTGTTAGCGTATCGGGGTTTTAATTTATTCTTGTTCTTTATATAATATCTTTTGTAACGATGTTCTGTATTGTAAAGTTTTAGGTTGATATATGAAAATAGAATAAATGTTATAGTGTATCCAATGACTTTCGTACAGTCTAAAAATTTCTGTCGTAGAAGTCATAAATGCGTAATGAAGTGATAAAAGCAACGTAAATATGGAATTTTTCCAGCGCCGAAACTTGGGATGAAGCCTTTGTACATTGAAGCAACTTTTTATTTTTTTAACAACATTTGATTAACTGTTCAGATTCTGTTGTCTTAAAGTGGACAAAAATCTTAAAGACAACATCTTTAATAAAGATCAAAGCACTTTAAAAAAAGGCATTTTTTACACTCAAAGTTGGCATTTAATTCAAGAAATCATATGTATTAACTGCTAGAGTAATGGGATTTTAGTGTTTTCTTATTCTTCATATGGCATTCTCTTGCAACGATAATCTGTATTGTAAAATTTCAGAATATTGTTCGATGGCTATAGGAGTAACAGGTTAAAAAATAGGTTTTAATCATGTTACCGTTAGTTTTCTATCAGTGTTACGGTTTTACTCGTGTATTTCTTGGTCAGCTTCGCAAAAATACAAACAGACAAATGGTAAGAAGGCAAAATCTGCCACATTTGCCATTATTAAGGTGAATTAGCCGTATTGGAACTCTATGTAAGCCTCCTAAGACAACATCTCTGACAAAGATAGAAACAGTTTCATAAAAAGGCGTTTTTCATATTCAAAGATAAAATTAAATTCAAGAAAGCATACCTGAACGTGTGGAGCCAGACATTCGCTTCGACATCTGTCAAGGAATGTTTGAAAATCACTTTGCTCAGCCCAGAGGTATTCGTTGATAATCTTTCGCCTTCTTAACCTGTGAAATTCTAATACCTGGATTTTATCTCTTTCTCTTATCGCGTTCATTGAATTAGGCAATAATATTTCAGAGCTCTTTCTTCACGTCAATGCCAGCAAAATAGCTCAAAAATTTAATTTTAACCAGAGTTACTTGTTTATAATACATATTCAATTAACTTATAATCTCTGATATTTTTCTCTTTCTCATTTTGCAATCAAATTATGAGAGCTGCAAAAAAAAGATCAGTTATGCAGCAGCAATAATTATAAACAAAAGATCTACAATAAGTGTAAGTCAAGGGATTCAAACAAAAATTAAAGCAAGCTGCCTTAAATTGGCTTTTATACTTGACTTATGTACTGGAAATCTAGCTGAAACATTGTGTCGAGCAATAGCAACGGATACCCAGTAGATTAAGTCCTTTCCTATTTGCAGTAGGAGGAGATCAATGATGAGTGGAGAGAAAGATTACAATCAAAAAGTATGTTTGCTGACGCCCTATAGGTGTTAATAGGGAGCAAGAATATAGCAAAGAGAGAAAGAAATGATTAATAAAAGAGTATGAGGGAAAGGGAAAACATCGAGAAACAAAAGTAAAGATTAGCAGGAAGAAAATCAAATCAAACGAAATCATAGAATCAAGTTAAAGAGAAAAATGATACAAAGTTTAAGCAAATGAGTGGTTTGAAATATTTTGTACTGATGTCAAGTGAAAATAGATAATATTTAAAATCTCTAGAAGCGAGATAGCAAGATAATTTTGTTCCCTTGTTACCCTGGTTTCACTGTCCAACCTAACTCTTCAGCTGATGATCTAGCACACAGGGTATTCTTTAATAATGTTCTGCATGGAAATCTTTACCTTCCTGGTCATATTTCTTTCAATGCAGTATTTCTGTGCTCCAGAGTCAATTCTAGGGGCAAGCGCGGATCCAGCCAAAATTTTGACCGGTTTTGGGGTGTTTTTCTGTAAATGAACCTGGGAGGGGAGCTGAAAATCAAGTTTAGTGATATATGAGGTCCCACCATGATTGGGTCCGACGCAAAAGAAATTTTTTGAAATTCAACCTCCTAGAATGGCTAAAGATTCATCTCCCAGACTAGACAAATTTTTTCTGAGAGCGAAAGTCTAGTCCCATCATACAAGACGTCAGATTCTAATTTGCACCTGTATTCCATTTTGTATCTTTTGGTATCATTTTGTATCAAAGCGGTATCGAATATGCTTTTTAGTCACCGGTTTTTTTCGCATAAGGGAAACATATGGGCACCGGTTTTCACAGGTTTTTAGAAAACAATAATCACCGGTTTCAATATTGGCGCATAGATAGCATACTCTAAATTGTCACTGCAAGTGGCGACTGATTTCTCCGATTTTGAATTCCTCGGATACTTTTGGATAAAAGATGAATTAGGAACCTGGAAACTCTGTCGGAATCTTTCCAACAAGGAAGTGCTGTTGTGTGGGGGTTCAATTTTTGTAGATAAAAACTGTAGTCAGTCGGGGAGAGATGCAGCAATTGTTGCAATTAAAATTTTAGATAAAATTCGAGATTTACAGAGAAAAATTGTTCTCAGAATTTAACCTGTTTTTTGAAACCTGTGCAACCGGTCTGGATCCGCGCCCGAGGGGATAACTATTTTACTTCTACCAAATAACTACCACCCGTAACATTTAAAGAAAACAAAGTTTATCTTGACTTGCAAGAGATTTTGGTGCACGTGTTCAGTGGCAAAGAAAGAAATGTCGTGACACTTGTTATTTAAATGTAAACAAGACGTTTCGTATGCGAAATTCCACGTTCGTTTTGGTATCCTATTGTTTAAGTGCTTGGGTACGTTTTTGTATAAACAAAATTACCATGCGTTTGTGTACCCGGACCGTTTTGCATGCTAAATTCCACCATTCATTTTGGTATTTTATTGTTTAAGTGCTTGGGTACAATTTTGCTTAACCAAAATTGCCATGCGTTTGAGTACCCGGACCGAAATGCATAAGGTTACCGAAACGCATGAGTACCCGGATCGAAATGCATAAGGTTACCGAAATGCATACGACACCGGCAGACCTCGATAACGCACTCGTTTCAGCCACAAGCGCTCTACGATAAGTTGTCGCCGATCATACTTGCTAATGCCAAAAATTTGTCTGGTAGCGTCTCCCTAGCAGCTTCTAACAAAGATCTATATCATCAATGATAGTTGATAGATATATAATGTTTAATTTATAATTTGCCATTTTTGTAACGTAGTGGATAATACGATCGCATCTGTCCATATTGGACACGGTGCCTGGAAGCCAAAGAGATATGAATTATTCAGACGGTCATATGCCAGAAGATATTTTCGTAACTTAGCTAAATTTTCCGGTCCTTGCAGAAAGAAATGATAATAAAATGAAATATATTCAGAGTTTTTTTAGAAGGGGCGCTCGTCTTTCTGTTAATTTGCCCCAAGTTGATATTTGTTCGCTATTCGTTATGGACTCTTGTGAGCGTCATTTGTGTCAATATCACAATTGTACTTTTTGCATAGTGTTTAATAGTTTCACATACCCTTCACCCCCATTTTACACGGTCTTTAACAAAATTCTAATGACATTATGTTATTCTACGGCATTTAAATCCTCAGTCTAACATTTCGTGTGACTTTTCGAATTCTCGATAACATATCCTATTTCCATTGCCTATTCGTTCTGCGTGGCATTACTTGTTATATGGCTTTATACACCGAGTGGTATTCATTTGTATGACGTTTCAAACTTCATATGGCCTTTTACATTTCATATGACATGATGCATTGCACGTTGTCGCCTAGGTAATGACTTCGCGTACAAAACCTTCAGCAGCCAGCTCACTTATTTGACTGACCAGGGGCGTTGTGTCCGGAGGGGGGGGGGGGGCATGGCCCCCTTTGCTTTCAAAATTTGACAGATTTTTGGAAAATCATTGTTATGTGGGAAAATTCTCAAACTTGAGCTTCAGGAAAAAAGGAAAAGTGGAATAAACCTTTTAGTAACATATATTACTTAGACTAAAATACTTATCGTATTAGCGAGAAGCAATTCACTTTGGTAAAGAAAATACTAGATTTTCACAAAAACAGAATGATTTCTCAGGACTTACCGACTTCTACCATAGAGTGAGTTGCTGCTTGGATTTGGTCAGTTGAAATCCGAATCTTCAAGGGCCAAATTTGATTATGGAAATTTGCAATATTGGTCATGAATTATATCTTAATTTGATATTGAAGCCCGTGACAGTGCCAATTTTGTAGCTATCACCAGATTTGAAAGTTTCTCCCAGATTTGAAAATTTATGCAGTTATGTTGCATAAGGTAGAAGAAAGGGAAACCTAGATGAATGCCATAATTTTCCGGCAGTGGAAATATTCATTTTGAGAATAAAATTTTACTATTAAAAGTTTGCTCCAAAGAATGAAGTTACTGGCAAATTTGAAGAATTAAAATTATAGAAATTTTTCCCTTCGGCGGCAACCATAGTGCTGTGTGAATGAAGAAATGGTCTCTGTAGCAGGCTGCTCGACGGGCTCCAAGGAGTTCTTGCGGCGAAAAGTCGATAAAATGTAGCAAATAAGAAACACCGCAATACGCCGAGAATAAACAACAATAAACACACGTAAATCAGTGAAGAATTTACGTGATTTACTTCACTGATTTACGTGTATTTATTACTACAACCATAGTACTGCTAACTTAATTCTAACTTTGTCCTAATCTACCGATTATAGGGTTGTAAATTATCAGGGACTTTCACAGTAAGTATGAAGGAAGGGGGACAAGATAAAAAGTGAATTTTAAATATCTTTTCAGCTAAGGCAAAGGCTATTTGTCTTTCTCTCCCCCCTCAACCACTTTCACCAACATTAAATGCTTCTATTTGATTAAAATAATTTGGTTGATTAAAAGAAATGTTTTCGCTCTTGTAATAAGCTTCAAATAATCTAGGCTCTTGTATCCTCAAAATGTGATTTTAAGTTGAGAAAACACTTCAATTTTTGAATTATAACTATAAAAAAATTGGATTCTTACAACTTTTCTATAGATAAAAGCAAAATGTGTGAAAGTGTTGTTTGGCCTAAAATGGCAAACTCACGCAGCCTTGGCAATTTTTTAAAGATGTCCATACGAATTCAATTTTTTTGAATTCACGTTTGCAAAATAAAGAAATTTAGAAAAAAATTACAAAAATGAAACTATTAAGCTACAAATAAAGTTTACTGAACGAACCAAAACGTTACAATATCATGAAATTATTAAATTTACTCATGCTACTTTTAAAACTGCATAACACTAAAGAGAAAGCCACAGAACTCGTCGGCAAAGATTAATTTTTGCTTCGAGAGAGAGTTGAAAACCGTCCTATTGTCGATTAGCAGTATTGTGGGACATCCTCTGGCAATTTTTTCTCAAAATAATGTTCTGCAAAGGAAACTTTACATTCCTGGTCATATCTCTTTAAACGCAGTATTTCGGTGCTCCAGAGTGAATTCTAGGGGATAACTAGGATTCCAACAAGGGAGTGCTGTTGTGTGGGGGTTCAATTAGGTAAAAACTGTAGTCAGTCGGGGAGAGATGCAGCAATTGTTGTAATTAAAAGTTTAGATAAAATTCGAGATTTACAGAGAAAAATTGTTCTCAGAATTTAACCTGTTTTTTGAAACCTGTGCAACCGGTCTGGATCCGCGCCCGAGGGGATAACTATTTTACTTCTACCAAATAACTACCACCCGTAACATTTAAAGAAAACAAAGTTTATCTTGACTTGCAAGAGATTTTGGTGCACGTGTTCAGTGGCAAAGAAAGAAATGTCGTGACACTTGTTATTTAAATGTAAACAAGGCGAATGAAACAGGTTTTTTGATTAAAGAAGATCAAGAGTAGAACAAGAACTTAGAGATAGAGTCAGAAAGACCCTGTCTGCTGAAACCAATTTCTTATCAACAACCTGTGCCCCGTAAGTGCTGTGTTCGAAATAATGCCTGATGTTTACGATCTAGCCTGTAACCTTGCAGCCACAAGCACTCTATGATAAGTTCTAGCAGATCACACTTACTAATGCAAAAAATTTATCTGGTCTCCCAGCAGCTTAGAGATCTCTACGATTAATGATAGATGATAATATAATATGTAATTTATAATTTGCCATTTTTGTGCTGCAACCACTAATGATTAAAATATTCAAAACGAAAAACGAAATCCAATATTCATGAATCACATTCTTACTGAGAGAGATATTCAATACAATTTGAGAAGTGAAAGTCATTGCGGTTGCCAAAAGTAAAGACAACATTATACAGGATAGAGAATATTCAGTACAGAGGTCACCATTTGTGGTCCTCATTACCAAGGGAAATTAAAGATTCCAACACACTAGGTGAGTTGATTAGCTTATTAGCTATATGTATTTCTGTTCTTTCTTGCCAACGTAAAAAAATGTTAGTAAAAAATGCCATATGAAGTTTGAAATGCCATATGAAGTTTGAATGCCATATGAAGTTTGAAATGCCATATGAAGTTTGAATGCCATATGAAGTTTGAAATGCCATATGAAGTTTGAAATGCCATATTAAGTTTGAAATGCCATATGAAGTTTGAAATGCCATATGAAGTTTGAAATGCCATATGAAGTTTGAAATGCCATATGAAGTTTGAAATGCCATATGAAGTTTGAAATGCCATATGAAGTTTGAAATGCCATATGAAGTTTGAAATGGCATATGAAGTTTGAAATGCCATATGAAGTTTGAAATGCCATATGAAGTTTGAAATGCCATATGAAGTTTGAAATGCCATATGAAGTTTGAAATGCCATATGAAGTTTGAAATGCCATATGAAGTTTGAAATGCCATATGAAGTTTGAAATGCCATATGAAGTTTGAAATGCCATATGAAGTTTGAAATGCCATATGAAATTTGAAATGCCATATGAAGTTTGAAATGCCATATGAAGTTTGAAATGCCATATGAAGTTCGAAATGCCATATGAAGTTTGAAATGCCATATGAAGTTCGAAATGCCATATGAAGTTTGAAATGCCATATGAAGTTTGAAATGCCATATGAAATTTGAAACGCCATATGAAATGTAAAAGGCCATATGAAAACTGAAACGCCATACAAAATGAACACCACTCGGGGTATAAAGCCATATAACAAGTAATGCCACGCAGAATGAATAAGCAGTGGGAATATGATATGTTATCGAGAATTCGAAAAGTCACACGAAATGTTAGACTGGGGATTTAAATGCCGTAGATTAGAATAACATAATGTAATTAGAATTTAGTTAAAGACCATGTAAAATGGGGGTGAAGGGGGTATGTGAAACTATTAAACACTATACAAAAAGTACAATTGTGAATTAGACACAAACGGCGCTCCATAGTTTCTTCTAGCAAAGTTTAATTTTTCTTAAAAGCGAGTAATTGGCTTTGTCATCGCAGCCGCGTCTTTGCACTTTCTTTGCATAATGCAAGTTTGGGCTGATTTTTGCATGGTTCCATGGCATTTGGACCCCCTATAATAGGCCCTTTCGGTTTGCGAGGCAGAATTAACTTCTAGTATAAATGTCCATATATATTAGATCCTAGTCAAAAATGTTTAGCGTTGTTTAGTGTTGTTTAGCAAATGTTTAGTCGTTTTGCCACCAATTAAACATTTGTTGTGATCGCGCAGGCGCTCTAGCTGTGGAAATCCAAAGGTTTTTGTCTGTTTTCGTAGGTCTCTACGTGACCCAAAAAGCATTTATGAGACATCTGCATATCTCGTTGTACGCCACTGTGTCTTCTTCAACAGTCAACTTTATTGTCAATGTGCTAAAAAGTCTTTTCTTTCTGCGTCGCTTCATCCAATTCTTATTTTATCCACTGCTTGTGCATCCAAAAAATAAACCAAAAGCAAATTCCTATGCAAGATCCCCTACAACCCAACAGCGTCATAGACAGCTCGCAGTTCAAAAAAGTTGAGTGAAGTTCAGTAAAAAGTTTAGTCACGTTTTTTCACCCTCGTTAAACTTCGCTCAACTTCACTAAACAAAAGTTGAGTGAAATGTTTAGTGAAATATTTAGTCGTTTTGCCAGCGCTTTAGGCTTTAAAAAAGTAGGGCTTGACAGGCGCATCATGACCAGCCAAAATCAGGTTCCCTGCGGAGGAGATAATTATATCAATCGAAAAAAGTGATAGCAGCAAAAAATGAAGGCACGTGGTTAGGTATGTGGTCATTTCCAGCCCTGGAAACTGAAACTTTATAAACTTTTTACTTGCTGACCCTGTTTTTATTCTGGCAATTTTCAATGTCGTAGGAAGCAGGTCGGAATAGCAGGGAATGGAGAAATAAAAAAGGGCAAACAAATGCATCTTTTATTAAATGTTTTGCGGAATGATTTTCAAAAACGTTTCGAAAGAAAGCGTTCCGCATTCAACTTCCAATACCGACAAGCAATTATATTTAGGACTTTCTTTCAAACTTTCTGTAAACACTTTCAATCAAACACTTACTTTTTTGTTTTAGTTAAGCTCTAATAAGAACCCGGAAAAATGCAAGCTCAACAGGTTTCAATATTTTGTTACATAAATCTGAAAACCTAGCCTGCATTCATAAGTGTGTATCTAAATCTGTAGATTTATGTGTGTATAAATCTGTAGATTGTCTCATTCTTTGTCATTTTCCTTTTTCATTGGCAGAACGATTATACATAGCAATTTTGGGCTTTTCTCTCCATCATGTCACCTGTTTTATTAGCTTTGTCCTACTTAATTTAAACCGTGAATGTCAACAGTTGAAACCACGACCAGTCATTCGATTGGCTGTTTGATAATTGACAGCTATACATTATTTTATCCACTGATAGACTTTGTTGGGGAGACGAGCGAGCGAAAATCTTGAAATGAATGAGGCAACCCTCCGTCCTGGAGTCAGAGAGCATGCGTAATAATAACTTCGTTTCGTGCGCATGCTCTTTGACTCCATGACGTAGGGCTTCCTCACTTATCAAAAAACTTTCTTTTGCTCGTTTTCCCAACAAAACTATTATTTACCTTGAGTGGTTCACGGATCTAAAATATTTCTGAGTTGCATATTAAATTGCATATATGGAAGTCGTATGTACGAAAAATAACTTTTAAGAACTAAAATTCAAGATCTTTACTCTCATCTCTTGCTAACTTATCGTAGTTATTTGGTAAAATCATTGCGATACAGCTCGCAGTGCTGCTGTTTTTCAAGTAGGATTTAGAGAAAAGAAATAATAAATTACATCTTAGTTTGGGGTCGTCTTTTTCATTTCAGTAACATCACATTTCATACATATGAAATTCTTTGAATTAACTTCATTTTCAGCGAAGACTTATTAATTTAGCTGTACTGAAGACAGTATTCTAACTGCATCTCTTCATGGATCTTTTCAATCCACCAATATTTGTTTGAATGCTCCTGACTTTGGCACCAAATTTCAACTGGTTTGCTTCACCCTTGCTGACCAGTTCAACAAGGTCCTAAAAAGAAACAGACAAAGCGATTGTTGAGATGTAAAGAAAACGGGTAGACACACTACGTGGGATATAGGAAGTGACTTTTTTGCAATGAATATTACAGAAAAGGTGTTTCAAAGCCTACCAATATCTTACACAATGGCACAATTCTGCTTTAAAAAGGGCCTACAAGCCCAATGTTTACTCGTTCAATCAAGACATAAAAAAATTATCATTCACAGCCTTTGTTATCATTCACACAAAAAAATACCGTGTCAACAAAAATACCATTTCATACAAAGTCTTGTGTTTTTGTCTTATTAATAAGTGAAAAGGCACTGCGGAACATCGTAGAGGTTGGGCGAGGGTAGGGTGGGTGCTAAATAGGGAGAATCCATTTTATGAAGCTTTTTTCAACACTCCCCTGATATAGATAGAAGAAGCGTCTTTTATCTAACTAGAGTTTCAATAAATTGTATAGCCCAATTTCATCAAAACAACCGAACTTCAAAAAAGGCCAATTGAAAATTCAAAAAAAGTTGTTAAGTTACTGCCTGTGAATGTAATGCAAATCAAGGTCAAGGTCATTTATCATGCAAATTTGGTCAAGGCACCAGTGATTTGTTCACGGAAAAGAAAAGACTACATTATCCCAAAGCACTTGCTGTCGGATTAACTGGCCGTAACTTTGATATGGTGACTATTTGAGAAATTTGTTGATGCTCGTCTAAGGTAAGCTGTTCGTTTTCTCATCTTCAGCGCAAAACTCCATTTTCTCTGCCAGTCATTCTCTGCCGGTCATTTATCATGCGAATTTGGTCAAGGCACCAGTGATTTCTTCACGGAAAAGAAAAGACTACATTATCCCAAAGCACTTGCTGTCGGATTAACTAGCCGTAACTTTGATATGGTGACTATTTGAGAAATTTGTTGATGCTTGTCTAAGGTAAGCTGTTCGTTTTCTCAACTTCAGCGCAAAACTCCATTTTCTCTGCCAGTCATTCTCTGCCGGTCATTTATCATGCGAATTTGGTCAAGGCACCAGTGATTTCTTCACGGAAAAGGAAAGACTACATTATCCCAAAGCACTTGCTGTCGGATTAACTAGCCTTAACTTTGATATGGTGACTATTTGAGAAATTTGTTGATGCTCGTCTTATGTAAGCTGTTCATTTTCTCAACTTTAACGCAAAACTCCATTTTCTCTGCCAGTCATTCTCTTAATAATTCCATCAAGCTATCATTGCTATCAACAACTTTTTGAAAACAAGTGGATCGCGTTGTTCATCAGGTTTCGTTAAGCTTTTTCGAGCCCACTGCAGTTTTGATATAATCTTGCAAACCTTTTAAGCCAACAAGAAAATTTTCCTGTTTATGAGAAAACCAATGCCACGATTTGTCTCTCAATGTCTATTGCTTCGTAAGTAGTTTGCATGTTTTCATTCTTTTATATCTTCAACGCATAAACTGAAAGTGTGAGCACAAGAGTACGTAGCCTTGTCACACTCTTTTTCTACAAAACATATTTCTTTGTGACTCCGAGTTGGCAATTGACGTTGAATAAACTACGTGTCCACAAAAGCTTATTTCCCCTGCAGCCCCAGTTACTTTCCATTGTTTTAAACAATAGGCAATTATCCCTCTCTTTATTTAGTAAAAAGGTTTACCCCTGCAGCTAACTTCCCTTGGAAAAGGTTTGCTACTGTGTATGAATCGATCTGCCTTCTGTATTCCTTGCAAAAATTAATGTGCTGGCCCGTTCAACCTGACCTTTGCATCAGCTTCTGGGTGGCTGGTTTCAACAAGTGGAATGCTTTTTATCGTTTTGGAATCGGACTGCTCTTCACCTGAAGCAGTTTCTCCACCTTCTTCACATTTTTCAGCCGAAGATTCAGTATAATATGGTTATTTTGATATCAATACCAATTAGGAAACTGTTGCTTCTGTTACGTTCATACGATTTTTACCTTTCTTCGCTCAAGTAAATGGTGCTCGAGCAGTTGTTTAAGGAGTTCTATACAATTATCAGTCATCATATTGCTGTGATATTATTTACTGTGCTGTTTCTGCATCCAATCTTACGAACAGAAATCCAAAATTCAAATCATTTTGATTAACTTCTTTGTTTTACTACATAAATGCCAACCACTTCGATGCCTGAATCAATAGAGCTATGATATTCTTGCAGTCATTTTGTAATATGTATTTTCAGAGTATTCTCATTTTAATAGTTTTTTCATTATCTTTTGCAAATAAACTTTTTATGAAATAGAATAAAAAAGTCAGGTAAATCAGCCCTAAGTTTCCTTTAACTCTATTTCTTAAATGTTGGACTGTATTGGATAATATTATTGTATCGATATCATTAATGCAATTGAGTAACCAATGACATGTATCCTAAGCATGGAAGCGTACCTTTTTGATCCTGTGAAGCTCCTTGGCAGCAGCGACGCTGCTCTCAGAAGGAATGTTTGACCTCTTGTACGCTGCTTGCCCAACCTCGTGTAATTCATTCATATAACCATCAAAGTTCTGGTTCTTCTCCTTCTTCAATATGTGCTCAATTTGACTTCTAAATCTTGGCATCATGAGGTTGTGCTCGTCTGTTAAAAGGTTTCTTGCCTTCGAATCCCATTTCTCCATGCCTTTGGAAACGAAGATTAAAAGTATTTCAAAAGATATAAAATGGCAATACGCTAAAGGTTATTATGTTTTTTTAACATGAGCATACTACAAATAAGGGGTTAAAATATACGCGAACGAAGTCCAATATTAAATCACCTATGAAAATAAGGAATAAAATGGCAAACATATATATGTGTTACGTTGTGTAGGCATGCCAAAAAGCTGTCGGAATATACGTGAGCAAGGTCAAAAATGAAAACACTGTACTGAGAGATATCATACCTTGTTTGGCTTCATTGTACCAATGATGGAGATCGCTTCGCTCTTCATGCGTTATGTTATGCTTCATTTCTGCAATTAAATGCAAATCATTTTAAAAGTGGAAAATTGTTTGTTGTTCAACTCTTTATTTTGTTAATATTTTCTGTTTTGTCCCATATTGCAGCTATTAGCTAAATTACAAATCACTTTTATCTATCTTTCTACCTGTAGATTTGACTCTATATCCAAGGTCTTCAACACCCTGTTGCATAGTCCTCTTCGTTGTTTGGTAACCCTCACGAACATTGACCATCGAATCATGCAGTGATCTTAGTCCATCGGCAATCATGCTGTACTTGTCAATCACTTTGCTGATCACCACACATGGTTTAGTGTGGTGTTTGTGCCAATCTAGGGTGAAAATTACGCAAACATCTAAACGAAATCATTTAAACCCCACTTCTAAAGGTACATGCGTATATTGATATGAATACTGTACATCAGGGCTGTGTCATTAGAGTAAATCATCTGTTAAAAGTTACTGTTAGAGCTTTCATTGTTGCCAATTTGACTGCTGGTTGCATTTGAGTTCAATCGGTTGGAGCCTGGGTTCCAAACAGTTGGCTTTTTTACTGGTACCAGCAGTCTTGCACACTAGGCCACTTGGTCTCCAACTTCTAATATTGAATTTACAGCGCGCAAATAGTATGAACCTTAAAGAACTTTAACCTAAAAAAGGTTACCAAATGCAAATTGCGAAACTTGATTTCGATGTTATAAATTGTTGTGATCAAGTTTTTAGGAACAGTCTCTGATATTAAACAAAATAATCCCCAAAATACCTTCGTCTAGGGTTCTTTTCTCGGCAGGAATGTTTGAATCCTCATAAGGTGTGTGATCAAAGTTCCTATTGTCAAAATCTTGCACCAACACCCAAGGTGCGCCATTCTTAAAAGCGTTCACTGTGGATGTACTTCGGGTCACAACTACTGGCAAGGGCTCCTCTGCAAGTCGTCTGTAATACATATCCTCGGCAGTAGGGACATAGTCCCTCTTTCGGCGATCCTTTGTCTCTTTTTCCACATCCTTCTCAATATCGTTTTCCTTTTTGTCAAGGTCATTCTTGTCGCCATCAAATTCCCTTACCCTCCCGTCAATATTTGGAACTTCATCTAACATTTTCTTGGTTCCTTTATACTTTGTTTCTACTGCATTAGCTGCCAGAAGATCCCAGAACTTAAGATTGATGCATATGTCTCCAGTATAATCTGCCTTGAAACCAAAGATTACAAATTTGCAAGTGATACCAACACAAGCATTAAAATCGCTTGTTAACTTGCCTCTCAATTCTAACAACTCCACTTGGAATAAGTTATCTCCCGCCCAGTTAAGGAAACGTTGCGAAATTTCTATTCCCGCTGCTACAACATCTTTTACAAACTCAAGAACTGTATTTGCGAAGGCAACCAATTTTTTAGCCATAGTCACAAAGCCTTTTCCTACGTCAATGAGACCTTTTCCAATTTCTGCAAAACCAATCATTATCTGCAAAAATAGAAAAAAACACATGCAAATGAAAAAAGCCTTATTGATTCAAAATTGTTTTTGTATGCAGAAAAAAGCCATTTTGACTAAATAGTGCAAGTTTAATGTTAGAGGCAAGGACCGAGATACCGGGGGCCGGGGACCTTGCCCCCCCCCCAAAAAAATCTTGAATTGCATAAGTAAAAGTATGGTTAT